TTTTTTGGCCCCTAGGGCCCTTTTTTAAAACCCCCCCCCCCGGTTTCCCCCCCGGGGTTTTTTGGGTTTTTGCCCCAACCAAAAAATTTCCCCTTCCCCCCGGGGGTGGAAAAACCCCCTTGTTTCCCCAACCTTTGAAAACCTTTTTTCCCCCCTCCCCCCCCCCCCCCCCCCCCCCGAACTTTCCCACCTAAAAACTACCGCTAACGACAAAATATGCAGACGGTTGCCGGGCTGTGCAGGAACTCGGGCAGGTACGAGGAGCTGTGGGACCTCAAGGAGCTGATGCGGGACATCGTGGTGGACGGAGGCGGGCTGGCGCGCCCGGGATCCTCCATCTACGTTAGCCTCATCCGGGTGTGTGTAGACTGATTGCACACTTTGCTGTGTTGCCGACCACGAAAACGGAGCGGGAGCGCGTGCTCGTGTTTTTCGCCGGCGCGAAAAAAAAAACACGTGCAACTTTCGAATCGGTGTGACTCATACATGCACCGAGATCAGCTCTTGTGCCTCGCGAACGACCGTTTTAACTTCTGTGGGATGCTTCTGAGGGGTGGGGGTAGTTGTCCTGTGACCACGGGACGCGCCTCCGTCAGTTGGACCGGTACATATATTGGAAGGTCAACACTGAGCAGAGACCGCTTAATTTGAAGGCAACAAAAAATAAACTCCACACCATGAGTCGAGGTGTGTCCCGCGCTGGTTTCGTGGCTATGACACCAATAACCCTACCCCCAACCCGTTTCACCGCCCCCCCCCCTGCCCTCTGATGACCTCCGCAGGCTTGCGGTGCCGCGCGGCGGCCTGATCTAGTCCTACGTTGCCTGGCAGAGATGAACACCGACCAAGCTCCCGGCAAGGTGTGAATACCCGGGCCCGGACCCGCCCCCCTTACCCCCACACCGTCAGGTTTCGCCCCGACTGTAGTCGGTGGCCTGCCCCTTCTTGGTTGCGATTTCGATCGAAAGTTGCATCGCCTGGTGCTTTTCTGATTTGCTGCATTTTTGTGTCGCCCTTTCCTCCTCTGTGTGACTGTTTGTTGGTGAATTATATGCCGTTCTTGTTCGTGCGTTTGTGTCGTGTCATCTTTTCCGTCTCTTCCCTCTTTCTTCACACGTCTTAACAACAAGACCGTGGTACACGCCTCACCCCCCCGCCTCTGAAAAACATGACCCGAGTATTGATCAACAAATGAATGGACAAGCGTGATTCGATGCGAAGAGTGTGTTGCGGGAAAATATGGTTGTTTCGTGGTAACTGTTTTCGGCATAATGGCCGCCCCACGCATCCACCATCCAAGCCTTCTGATGGCATGGTTCATAACCATGTGTTGCTCTCTTTGATGAGCGACGCCGCTCGTTCATTATCCGCATCGCGTTCATGGCCACCGATGCGGTCTACAGTCGGGTTTTTGATCGGGGGACCGCCTCCATTTTTTTTTTGTTTTGCGCATCGACGCATTCGTGAGAGATGGTCTATTTATCCCTCGTGCTTTTTTCGCAAAAATCACCCCCAAATCAGAGCCCCGGAACCCTGGCGCTGGAGGAGCCGTACATGGTGTCGGCGGCGATCGGCGCCCTCTCGGCGTGCGGCGAGACCTCGGAGGCCGACCGAATCTACGCGGACGCCATCCGCCGGCGGATCCTCCCGGACCCCGCCGCCGGTCAGACTTGGGCCGCCGCCGCCGCGGCCGCCGCTGCTGCCGCCGCCGCCACCGCTTACGCGTCATCGGGGGCGGGCGCTGGCGCGCCCGGCCGGCGACGAGTGCCCGGTGCGGTTGGCGCCGCCATCGGCCTTGGCGGGGGCGAGGAGGTTACCGAAGCGGCAACCCGTCAGCAGCGGGGGGTGCGGCGGCGGCAGGACGGGACCGGGTACCGAGATGGCCACGGCAGAGGGGGTTCCGATGATGATGATTCTGGAGACGGCAGGGATGTGCCTGTTTCTCCCGCCTCGCGAAGAAACGGCGACGGCAGCAGTAGTTTGGGCGAGCGGGATAGGGGTACGCCGGAAACGGAAACAACGGCGGCTGAAGCGGGGGTGGTGTGGGGGACAGTCGCACCGCCGCTCTGGGTGGACCTGAGAAAAGCGCCGGTGGCGGTGATCCCCTCCGCCGTGCGGAGGGTCGTGAAGGCGGTCGAAGCCGTGGGCGGGGTCACCGACGGCCTCGTCGTGCAGTGGGCGGGAGCGCGAGGGGCGAGTGAGGCGGAGGAGGAGGAGGGTAGAGCGGCCAGGGGCGGGGGCGGGGCGGGCGGGGCGGGGAGGGCCACGAAGACCAGGGGGAAGCCGGCGAACGCGGGGCGCCGAGGGGCAGTGTTGGAGGCGTTCGCGAGCGTCGAGCCGGCGTTGGGAGTGACGGAGCCGTCCAACAGTCGAGGGCAGGTACGGAAGGGAGACGAGTGTAAATGGATGAAAAGGCGGGTAGCGTCTACCATGCGCATACCGCCCGTGAAAAAATGTTGTATTGGTAGATGGATTTATACGGTCGGTGTTACAGAGGTGGCTGTGCTCTCGCTGGCATGAGGAAGGTGGTTCATGGTCTGTTCGTCCGTCGCTGTTTTGGAGGTGCATGTAAGGGTTGCTCTGATACTGGTTGACACGTTTGGGGATGTAGGTTGGCTCTGTGTCTTGTGCGTCGAAAATGGTGATGGTCGGTCCATCACAACCTTGCTTCGATGGGCGAGACCTGGCACTGCTTTGGCACGCTGCTTCTTGATCTCATCCGCACCAAACGGTGTAACAAAGGTCGTGCGCTATTAAGCCTTGATATATTTGCCGCGCTATCGCTTTTGACTCTTCTTGTCGCTCGTGTCAGGTTCGCGTGGAGAGGCGAGAGCTGCAGCGTTGGTTGCAGGAGGTCGGAACCAAACGATGATCCAGTCCTTCTCGATTAGGAGGAAAGAGTTATCTTCGCTTCCCGCTTGACGGGAACTAAGTCCTGACACTTACCACCGCGCTTGAAGTCTGTTTACCCATACGGAGTCGTCCTATACAGGAAAACGCCGTTGCCACTCGAAAAAATTGGATGATAAAACGCGCCGCGGCCCGGGGTTGCCGTGTCGTGTTCCGTCAAATGTTTCTGATGGCTTTTCGATTCCCTCTTGTTTTTGGATTGTTATTTCTGGGCTGGTGCACACGTTGCCAGCCGTCGATCGTGGTTGGTTTTGGAGTATGATACCCGAAGTTTGGTTCGTTTATATTGGGCCTTCGATGGTGTGCGATGCATTGATTTCGTTGTCGCCACGACATGTTGACAATAGAAGCTTCATTTGTCGCGTGTCGACAGGATGAACAACATTTTCTGTCGAGCCAGATCCAGACTGCCAGTCGGTGTGGTCAGAGATCAGGAGGGACGCGGGAGGCGGTTGTACAATTCTTGGCGCTAAGAAACTTGATAGGGTTTCCTGTTTTGAGTGTTGGACTTGGGAGTCCGGCGGCGCGCGACGGCGGCGGCTTTTGTGTTTGGTTTGTTATCTTTCCTCTCCTCATCCTGAAATTCCGCAGCAACAGGGAAACAGACGCAAAAAATTCGAGATCCTGCAGCAGTACATGTCGGGGCCCGACTGCTGTACCACGCGTTTCAAACCCTTTATTTCCCCAAGAGGCAGAAGATAGACAACCGCAACGACCACTCAGTAGAGATGCATCAAGGAACAAAGATGGAACAAATTCGGCTCCCTTCGTTCGGCAGTCGCGTCCCTTGTGCCGTCCGTCGTATGCATGTAACGGTGGCCCGACCCAGTGCTCGGAACACCTAAAAAATTGGTACCTTCCCATAGTAACCTTTGGTGAGTACACTCGGTACTTTGGGGTCGGTCTCGAGTTCTTGTTTTGCCTGGAACTTTGCTTGTCAGCGGCCTGTTTACCGGACTTCCCAGGTGCTATTGCGCGGTAATCCGTATAACACGGAGGTACTAGAGGGCCTTGCGCGGATGAACGGGGCGACACTGACCACATGGGAGAATGAGAAGGCATGGCTGCATCATTCTAGCACCGCTGAAGAAAGGCAGAAAATGAACAAAAAAAATCAGGGCCTTCCTCCTGGTTTGACACGACGGGCTGAGGCGTTCCAGAAATCATACAGAAAGGGTATAAAAATGGTGTGACGTCCAGACAATTGGGACAATACACACGAACATATCGATCATGTACCACGGGAGGTGTCCGCGTCAGTTGGACCCAGTACCGAGCACACATGAGGACGGGTTGGTTCCAATGTTGGTTCCAATGTGAAGACAGCAACACGAAGGGATCGATACACAACAATTAATTCTGGACGTCTGACCGTGCGCTGTTTACATCCTCGGCCCAGAATTCCTCGCCATCCTCCCTTTCTTCGTGAGGACGTATGCTCGGATGCGTGCATGCAAGCAGCGGTGTAGCGCGCCCAGCGTTCCGGTCAGTCTTCCCAACAACGGGCGACACAGGCATATGATGCGTATCCTTCCACACTCCTTCCTGCAGAATAGCCAGAAAACAACTTTGCTCAATAGCAACGTATTTTTTTTTTTTTGTTCTTCACTTCAAATCAGCGGTCACAGCACTAGTGCCGTTTATTCGTTTATTCCAACCCGTGGTCACACAGAAGAGCCTCTCTCTACCCTCCCCTCCTGCGGTACTTCGCCTTCAATTTTTAATGCGAGAAGAGTTCAGCACTCTCTTCCCTCTGTGTACACACGAACTAGCGCTATCCACTTGGCCAGGAGCGGAAGCGAGAGAAAAACTCACTTTGCAAGAAAAGCTCGTATTGCTGAAAATCGATTACTTCTTGTTTGAGAAAGATCCTCACCCAGAACCAGCGCCCGACGCAAACGTAGGCCTACGTTGTCAATAGCGATGCGTATTCCACACAACCGATACCGAGCATAGGCGCGGGGCGCGAACAACACTAAATTATTACTCCGACTACATGCAAGGGAGGGGGGTGGGGTGAGCAAGAGGGGGGACGCCGCCGCCGCTGCCTTTTTCGAGCAACGGACGAGCTATATGCAACAGCCCCCCACATTTTCCTCCTATCATAGTGTACAACCCTCTCCTCTTTAAGTGCAGAGCCTCCCGCCACATACGTTCCTAGCATTTTCCGACGGCGGTGAACACAACAGCCCTTCTAGAGGACCTTCTTCCACCCGACCCACAACCAACGCCATTTCACATAGCAAGCTTGTTCTTGGCCTTGGTTGTATGCACACGTTTCCTCTCTCTTTCTAACGTACAACCACGCTTGCGCTTGCACACGTGCTGCCACCGCTACGTTGATTCTCCCGCCTCCGCCTCCGCCTCCCCGAGAACAACAACAGCCACCCGCACGCACTTGCTTCTGCTTTCGCGCCCCACGCTCGCGGACCTATGTACGACGTCATTGAACCACACGCAAACATTCTGTCTGTGGAACCGCACCGTATACAATGTAGCGCACCCCGCCGTAAGGTATTCCCGTCCCCTAGATAACAGCATCGCTGAAGCAAGCACAGCGGGGATGATGGGGGGAAAAGGACAACACCCCCCACCCGACCGAATCGTAACGTTTCACCATCTGGTCGTATTCGTTCATATGCCTTCGCGCCCTGCTGCTGGTACGTACTACATCGTTGCCCGTGTGAAATGTGACGTGATAATCCAAACTGCTTTCGACCGCAATTTTTTCGCTACATTGGCCTTCCCTGCTCATGGCACGCGATGCCTCCCGGCCAAGTAACCCCTCCGCCCCCCGCCCCCCCCTACACCAGATGACAATCAATCGAAGTAACGCATCCGGACAGCGCAAGACAAAGTTACAACAACGTAAAGCACCCACGTGGCGGGAAATGAGATACACAAACCCAACGTGCTCTCTGCCGAAATCACCTCGTCAGATGAACAAATAACTGCGACTACCGGTGCGTACCACGCCAGTCGGCTGCCTCTGCGAAACATAAATATACATGTCAAGAAAATCACCACCCCAAGGGGCGTATTCCAAATTTTGGCGGAGGATATCGCTAGTTCAACGCATCCCCGCATTTCCTGCCTCGCATTGTGTCCTCTCTCATCAAAACCCACCGCCTCCCCGGGATTTTCGTTCTCTGGACAAGCCACCCGTTTCATACGACTTCTCGCCGCGAACAGCTTGTGGCTTGGGAAGAGAACTTACCCGAAGGGAGAGCAACATGCGGCTGGGGTTACTGTGAAACTGCGACACTTCTTTCGGAAGGGAGGGAAAGCATTCTGAAATGCTCATTTTTCAATAAAATGCGTACATCGCGTGAACCGCATAGGGCAAAGGGTAAATCGAGTTACCTTCTAGGCGGAACAACAACAATTTTTTAACTTTTTTCGTTTTGTACACACTCACCGCACCAGACAAAAAAACGCACATAGCAGTAGAGACACTTAAACACACACATGCAATAACCCACACACCACAGACAACTATTACATGCATGTGAATGGGAAACATTTCTCCGCCTTGTCTGGTGTGTCGCACCTCTTTCGGACACTATGCAACACTCTCTATTTTCAGGCCAAGGACAAGCCATGAGAACAAAGGAGGAGGCAGGGAGAGGGGGGGGGGGGCGGGTTGGATACACCTCGAAAGGACTCTACGGAGTCACCTCCAAGACCAACGGAACGAAGAGAGAGGGTGGGGCCAGGAGAAAGGAGGGACGCCGCCGCCGCTGCTTTTTTGACACAGCGGACGAGCTATATGCAACTGTCCCTCCCAACCTCCTCCTATCATAGTGTACAAGCCTCTCTCTTTTCGAACCCGGTTCGTACTCTAACGACAGCAGCAGCAGCAGCAGCATCAGCAGCCAACGCCGACATGTTTCAATCCCTCCCCACCCACCCCGGGACCTAAAAAGCGGTCCTCATCCCCCATTACCCCATCCAGCGCCCAACACCTCAAGTCCACCGAAACAATGTTACCTCTAGGGCAACAAACAAACAAAAACGGTCAAACTTTTTCGTTGTGGAAGGAGTGGGAGGGGGCGCGGCGCTGAGTGATTACTCTGCCTGCCTTCCGGCCTGAAGGTCTCACGAGCAATCACAAAATTCCGAGAATCGCTACCCCTCCCCTACCCCACCCCGACGAACCATCTGATGTATCCCCTACAAAGATAGGAGAAAGGGGGACTGGGGGCCACTGAACCGCTTCAACTCACTACCACCTGCCAGATCGTCCCTCGAGAGCCGTAGACCGGCGACCTCCGTTTCTCTAAAATTCAAGGAGAAATAACAAGGGGGAAATTAACACAAAGCAGACAGCTTTACCCGCCTTTTGACGTCCACAAGAAGCACGTTCCCTCAATACAGAGTAAAAAGAGCAAGCTCTTGTCACCCTCGCCCCCCCTTCGTGTTACCAGTCTCGCCGCCAAGACGAAAAGGGACAACATCGCGAGAACTCCTTCTCTCCCCCAACAGGTGCGACGCCTCCTCACCGTCGACCAATCACACCAGGATAGGCTTGAGCGTCTCCAGCGTCACCTCCTTGGCCGCGCGCCTCTGCAGGAACTCCACCGTGAACAGGCGCCCCCGCTGCTCGTACATCGCCCGGAACGGCCGCTTCATCGCCATCACCGTCGTCCCCCCCGCCTCCGACACCGCCGCCGGCCCAACATCCCACGTCTCCCCCTCCACCACCGCCTGCTGCGTTTTTCTCGCCTTCTTTGATCTCCGATCGACGACGCCGTCACCGCAAGCGGCGGGATTCCAGCACGAGCACACCAGGAGCACCGCCGCCGCCGCCACCGCGGAAGGCTTCATGCCGTCTACCAGGTCCCACCTGCTCGCCTGCTGCGCCGTGTGCCTGGCCGCCACCGACACGAACGGCGGAAGCCCCAGCTTGTCGCAGAGCGGCGGGATGTGGTGCTCCCCCCGGAGCGACGGCGCCTTTTCGATCTCCAAGTTGCTCAGTTTCTACCGCGCGAAAATGAGGGGTGAATGCCGGAAAGAGGGGGGGGAGGGGGGTGGAGTTTAGGGTTTTGGCCTCTCAAGTGAAAGTTGTAGGAGTGTACTACTGTTGATCAAGTTTTCACCTACAACATGTGCCGTGACTGTGCGCATTCTTCAAATCCGGCCTGCCCGTACTCAAATGTATGGGACCTTTCTGGCACACGTACGACGACCTCCAAGGGAAAAGGAGCAAACAGCAGAGTGTGCACACCCAAACCACGGAGGGGCCAAGAGGGGCTCAGCAGGAACGAAACATTATTGTTAAACGAGTCCCGTCCTCAAAGCCTCACAAAAATGCGAGCGACGCACAGGGGAAGGGTTGGTTCACTCACCTTGACCGCTTTGTTGAGGGCTTTGAGCGACACGTTGAACATGGTGGACATCTCCTTCATGGTCTGACCCCGTCGCCACTGCCGACACGTGAGAAGTGTCACCGCCACGCAGATGGCTACGCCTCGCTCGGCCTTCTTGACCTTGAACAAACCGCTGTCCTCCGCCTTCCGCAGCAACAGGCACGCGTGCTCCTGGAACAACAGAAACAACAACGAGGGTGAACAAACCAGACAAAAAAAAAGTGGGAACATCAGTTGCGTTGGCCTTGGAATTTGCAGGTACATGTAGGTTTCAAATCAGTTTGGGGGTGGGCATGGGTACGGAAATATATACATCCATAACCTACCGCAAGAAGGGACCCCCAAATTTACCACTGGCGATGACTCTCGTTGCAGGCCCTGCTCGGACAACCCCCCCCCCCCGGCGACCACCTCTAATGACCCACCTGCATGGCGTGCGTGAGGCCCAGCCTGTTCCCGAACTCGCGCACTTTGCCGAAGAAGTCCATCTTGAGAGCCCTCTCCGACGCAGACTCCTTCACGGCCATGCCCTGCAGCTTCTGCAGCTTCGCCGTCAGCTTCGAGTCTTGCCCGCCCTCGATAAGGGTGTTCATGCCCGACTTCGCCGACAGGAGAGGGCTTGCAGCGTCACCTGCGCGGCGAGGGTAAGGGCCGGCGACCGCCGAAACAAGGTGCGGGGTAGACTAGTAAGTGGAGGAGCGGGGTTTGGGGGGGGGGGATACAGAAGTTTCTGTCTATGTCAGGCATTGTGTTTACTCGAAAAGTGGTTAATGGTCGTCGAGAGTGGATCAGATATGTAACGGGAAGGAAGACACCGTGAGATGCACCGTTCAACACACCAAAAAATGAGGTGATGGTCTCCGTTTCCTGTTGTTTGACAGGCAAAAAAAAAGGAAGCAACCAAAACAAAACAAAACGGCACAGGGTTGCTGGGGAACGTACCTGCAACACAAGTGGCCAAATTGACCATGGGCGGTGTAACGCGCAGCTGCACGATCCTGAATCCTCGATCAGACAACACGGGTACATAGCGCATGGTACATGCGTTCCCGGTCAGAAGTGTGCATCTCATCCAAATCGCATGTTTAGAAACAATTCGATGTGCTTGCCTCCGTGAGTCATGGCTCTAGTATCGGTGATGATGCCGGGTGTGCCATATGTCTGTTCGTGTATGTACCAGCGATCATCTAAGCGCGGAGCATTTGTGCGTTGATGAAATAAATGTGCTGGTTTTTTAGGGCTGTTCCGAGGCAAGGTCCAAATCAGCAAGAAGAGAGGCCTGTCTTATTGTGCTTGCAATTCTACCATGCACCATAGATGAGAAAAACCACGGAAACAACGCCAGCACTCATACGTACCGCAACGGTTCGGGTCAGCCCTGCCATTATTGCTGTCTTCAGCGTATGTCTGCCACTCGGCCCCGTCATCGATGCATCGCTCGCCGATAACAACCGCGCACGTCCGGCAGATGATCTCTCCGGCGCGAGGATCTGGCGACAAAAAATAAAACAGCAGCAGCAAAGGAGATGGGTGAGGATAACTACAAATGTCGGGGGATTGATCGGTGTGCGTTGCGGCTATGCATGGCTTCCCTCACATGTACTGCCTTTCCGTGGGGCTTGGCGGCAATGAGATTGGGGCGACAAGGAGTCCCACAACCACCAGGCAACAGGTAGGTGATCGACAAACAAAATTCGTTTCAAGGGTTCATCAATCTACACGCACTCACCGACGTAAATATCGCTCTCCGCCATGCACTCCTTGCAAAACATCGTGGATCCCATGTATCGATCCATGTTGCCTCGTGTCTGTGTGTGGAAGCCCGCGTTTGGGCGCCACCGTGCAGTCCCACCGGACCACAGCCATGGGGTGCACGCGAAGGAGATGTACTGCAGATGCGAGTACATATTCTTTTTGGGCAACACCAATCGTGTGGCCTCTGGTTCCCGGCAGCTAGTTCCGCCGCACATTTCAAATTTGCCCCCTTGAACCGCTTTCACGTACCATCACGTCCTCCGTGCTCAGGACCGCCTGTCTCGCTTCTATCACTCTATCGTCGTATCGCTGATACTGCTTCTGTGGCAACCTAGTGTTGTCTGGAGTGCTGGAGAGAGACTAGGCGACCAAGGTTCAGCATGAAAAAGCGCGGAAAACTCTCGCTCCCTCGGAAGCACAGCAGGCAACCTCAACACCAGAGACATGACGCGGATGCCATGGCCGGCAACAACAATGTACGTGTTGCTGTATAGAGGCAAACACTTCGTCCGTTCGCGGTACTACGTACGTGCTGTGCAGAGTATCCGTATCTTTGAATCAAGTGTTGGCTTTGGTTGATGCATACGGTAGGTTGCTCGAGTCTAGAATAGGTGGTACGACAACCGCAGCAGCATCAGCAGTCAGTCGCAGCTCGCAGCAGCCAGTTCTGACGTTTTGACTGCGGCTGAAAGACATCCTCTCCATGTCCCTCTGTCCCCGTACCCACGTCACGAAACATGCACAGGCGTCGCCAACGCCAACTTTTCCCCGATCTCCGCTGACCTCGCCAACGATGGGGTTCTCTTCTCCCGCACAACCAAGAACAGCGGCATCACTGCAGAACACTGCAACAACCATGGACGACAGCGAGCGAAAGAAAGGGTCCCCAGAGAGAAGCTCTCCATGGGCAAACCTCTCCTCGTCGCGCAAACGACCACGCGCTTTCTCCGCCTGGGCGCCATCGTCGTCCCTGTCTCCGGCGCAGCGGCAGCGAGAAGAAGATTCGACGGTGATTGATCTAACGGAAGAAGCCGGTCACCACCGACACCAAGACGACCAACTCCACCAGAAGGGCGAGGAAGGAGGCATCACGGGGGAAGGTCGGTCACCGCGACCACTACACCCGACTGCGAAACCACCTTGCGGGATGCCACCAGGGCGAACCGTCCACAATAATGATCAGCCCCATCGCGCACCATTTGCTGAGGCGCGAGCAGCTGGCGGCCCCTCTGCGATTTCTCCTCCTTCTACGTGTCTACGGCAGCTTCCGCCGATTGTGACGTCCCCAACGGCGATGATACCGACTGGTGGGTCAATGTCGTCATTGGCAACACTTCCCACGGCATCAGCGGCGGCGGAGGCAGCAGCAGCAGCATCAGCAGCAGCAGCAAGGGTAGCAGCCGACGACACAAGGCCGGAGGGGAATCCTCGGCCATCTCTAAGGTCAACCTACGTTCGACATTTCGAGGACGCCATGGGCACGGTGATGCACGCGCGGCCAGACTACACCCGTCTTTTTACCGCGGAGGAACGCGACGTGGCACAGAGATTCGAGGGGCTCTCCGAGCCCAGCAAGACGCTGTACGTCCGTCTGTTTCAGCGGAAGGGCCCGTGGTTCCGAGCAGATGGTATGTTGGCCTACGACGAGGTTGGATCGGGGACGCCTCTGTGGGTTCGTCGGCGGAATGCCGCCACCACGGCTGATGCTGCTGCTGCCGCTGCCGCTGCCGCTGCCGCTGCCGCTGCCGCTGCCGCTGCCGCTGCTGCTGCTGCGGGGGGAGATCCCACCCGCAACGCTCACGTCAGCTGCGAACGGCGAGATGAATCGACCGCGTTCGTGCCGCCTCCCACTCCTTTTGCGCCTGTTTTAGGCGACAGGGCGGTATCCCGTCGCGCCGACAACCAGAGCCCTGCTAGCATGCTCTCAATAAGCGAAGGCCTGGAACTAGAGGGTGTGGCGATACCCGCTGAGCTACAACGGGACGAAGCCCATCCACCCGAAGGCGTTTGTTCTTCGACAGGATCGCCGCCACAACCGGGAACAATACCGCCGGCAGAAGCACCAGCGGCAGTAGCGGCAGAGGCGGAAGCAGAGGCAGCAGAGGCTGCAACACTAGCAGCAGTCGCAGAGGCTTCTGTCGCTCTCACGCCACGGGAGCTCACTGTTCTGCATGGAGAGATACAATCGTCTCTGCAAGAGCTGGTGGAAGCTAGGTTCCTGGGCGCCCTGCCGGACAACGTAGGGCGCACAGGCCCCGGCCTCGAGGCCGCTCTCGCCGCGGTTGAGTGCTGCATGCGATCGCCCGAGATTAAAACGCTGCTGAAGAGGACGGGGGGGAGTAAGAAGGGCACGCCGACGCGTCCGCAAGCAGGCAAAGAGTCAGCAAGGGGTTTCCAGCCGGCGCGCTCAGGTTCGAAAGAATCCAGACGGCAAGGACCAGGGGCCGCCGCTCGGGCGGCGCCGGGGGCAGCTCGGGGAGGGCGGCGAGAAATGCTGGAAGAACTGCGGCGGAGACTAGCCGGTCAGCAGACCCTGTGGGGTGTCAAGTCCCCGCTTGTGAAGGAGATCGAGCGCCTGATCTCGGCCTCCGTGGAGGCGTTGGGAGTTGATACGATCGGGACGAGGTGCAGCGGCGGCGGCAGTAGCGACACCGGTTCTGCTGTTGTTGGCGCGGGTATGAGGGGAAAGAAACAGCGCTGCCACTGGTTGGTGACTGTGGCTGGCGGCCCCCAGCTAGTCTTCAAGCGAGCGCTGCGGTTGATGTACCTGACTTGCAATACGGGGGCTCTGAGCAGCGGACGGGTTGGGGCGGCGTCCGTTCGCGGTGCGGGAATCACGGGGGCCTTGTCGTCTTGGTCTCCAGGCCTCTCCGCGGCGTTCGGCAAAACGAGGTGCGGTACCGCGCAGACAGCGGCCTAACTGGAAGCCGCCAAGCTCGTGTTTGCTCGTTTGCGTGGTTGCCATCCCCAGGGTTTTCGTCATGGTAGTTGGACATCTCGATCTGTCCACTGATGGGTTCGAAGTGCCTCTCATTGACTGTGTTCTGCCGCGTCTTCGTCGAAGAGCTTGTCCGTGTTGAGCATGAATCCGCACAGACGCAGGCTATCCTGGAAATGAAGCCAACATATTTTAACCTGGTAGGACAAGAGATAGAATGAATCATTGCATGGCACTGCCGCTAGAGAATGTGCTCGATCGTCTACCCTTCACCTTCCTGCCCGCCACCACCACCCCGCGTCCCCTGCCGTCTTCAATCAAGGTACGCGTCCTACGTGTGTAACCCGCAAGCAAGAGCCTTCCAGCAGAGAGATGACTTCTTGAGGTGGGAAGCAGCAGTAGAGCTGCGGTGCGCTCTGGACAGAGCCATGGAGGAAATTTCTCGAGGGCGCCAGGCAGGACCAGCGGCGCTCGCTACTGCACGGGTGGCAGACGGTGCGGAAAGTGAGGAGGGAGAGGGGGAGGAGAAGGAGGAGGAGGAAAACGGGAGTTCGGCCGGAAAAAGATCGTGGCCGGAGGTTTTGGTTCTGGATAGCGACGGGGAGCTTGAAAACGTCGAGGAGTCGTTTGCTTTCCGGAGGGAAGAATCGGGCAGCCTGAACGCTAAACTCGAGCGCATTAAAAAGAAAGAGGGCCGACAAGGGGTCCAAGCAGCGGAGGACGAAGGGGAGGAGGAGGCGGAGATGATTCGGCCTGCAGTGAGCGAGCTGGAAGACATGATCGCCCAGTTTTTTTCGGAAGGTGACGACGAGGGGCGCACTGGTCGTACCGCTGCCGCCGCTGTAACTACCGCTGTCACTACCGCTGCCGCCACCACCACCACAGATCCTTCAAATGCGGTGGCAGTGGCGATATCCTTCGCGTGCTCACGGTGCCTGCACGCCCATCTCGGGAGTCCGGCCGTCACTTTGGGTTCGCAGGTCTCGTCATCCTCGTCCGGTTTTTCCGGTGCCAAGAATGGCGTCGGAGGAGGGGTGGAGGAAGATGACAAGTTGTTGCGGTTACTGAGGGCGCGGTGCGGCCTGAACAAGGCCCCAGAGGCTTGGACTCGCCCCGTCAGGGAGATAACACCAGAGGAGGTGGGTCAGAAGGGGACAGATTACGCGGGTCGTGCGGAGCGTCCGCGTCAGCAACAGCAAGAAGATGGAAAATGTGGGCCGGCGTTGCTAACGCATCCCAGCGAGTTACGACACCACGAGAACGAATCGGAATTGAAACTGGTCTCCGTGACGGCAGGGGGGGTTGCTTCTGGAGGAGACCCCACGTCAGATTTCGCTCCGGTAGGAGAGCAGATGGGCGCAGCTACGGGAAGCGGTACTGAGGAGGGGAAGGGGGACGTAGTTGGCAGCAACAACGAGGTGCCGGAGTTCTTGCTACAGCTCGAAGCGGGTTGGGTCTTGGCTTCGGCGGTGTGGGAAGGAGTGGCGCTTCTAGAAAGAGCGAGGGACTACGAGAACGCCGTCGAGCTGTTGACCCAGCTGCTGGCAACGAGGTGCGGTCAGTTTCTGTATTATACTCTTTGTCGGTGTGGCAACCCCCAACGCGCGATGCAGCGTGCACAGCAGCGTCACCGCTGCTCGACGTTTTTTTGGTGTTAGGCATGTCCTACAACGGGATGTACGCCAACTCATCAGCAGCCATGAGCATGCGGTGCCTGGTGCTATTTCATGTTCGAAAGTTTGTTGTCGTGTAGGGAAAGTATGGAAACTCATCTAGTGTACAACTAGGAGTAAAAACAAACAGTCGATTAGCTTCTTGTCCTTGGCGATTACAGAACACAGGGTACCGGGTAGAGGTCAGGGCTGACTTCACTGTGAAGGTGACAACGACAACGACGACGATGCTTCGTAACAACGCCCACGGTGGAAACTGCTTGTCCACTCCACCGCCCAAGCAAGTAGCTTGTCTCGTCGGTCGTAGGCCATAATTGTCATCCCGCATGCCTGCATGCCGTCGTCCATATTCACCCGGCGCAGGTACACGCCTCACCGACGAGGGCGTTGGTGGAACCGCCTGTCGCTCGACCTCGCACACGCCAAGCGCCTGCCGTGCGCGCTTTGGGCCTCTCAGGAGGGCCTGAAGGACCCTCAGGTTCGCGGGGGCGATCGCCTGGCTCTGGAAAAGAGGGCTTCCATGCTGTCCACGAGGTGCCGTAACTGTTGCCGCCTGTTCACTTTTGGCCCGCGCGGGTTTCATGTGAATCACCTCTACTTATCCCACCCTTTGATGTCGACCTGCATGTTCGGAGTGTAGCGAAATTCCCGCCCCAAGTTTGTTGCAGTCACGACCTCTCACTGTGCCCTTTGGCTCCTCTCTGTCTGGCTCGCTGTCTGTGTTTCGCTCTGTCTCTCTCTCTGTCTCTGTCTGTCTCTCTCTCTGCCCCTCTCTCTCTGTCTGCCTCTCTCTCTGTCTCTCTCTCTGCCTCCCCCCCCCCCCTCTCTCTCTCTCTCTCTGTGTCCGGTTTCATGTCACTTCTAAAAGAGCCTTCAACAAGAAGGTGGCCACCAGCTCAAAGACCGCTGACTCCCAGCTGCCCCCTCCCGCGCTCCTGGTCCCGGACCTGTCGTCTGTGAAGTCACCCATACGACAAACTCCTGCAGAACGAGTGATCGGGTACAGATCCGGTGGCGATAGCAGCGGTGGCAACGACGGTGGTGTTAGCAGCGATGACGACCAGGATGAGGTGTTTGAGAATCCAGCCGTCGAGCGAGCGCGGGTCCGAGCCCAGAAGAAGAAAAAAAAGGAGCGACAGAGGCGACGACAACAGCAGCAGCAGCGCCCAGCTCTTGGCAGTGGCCGTGACAGCAGTGGCGGCAATAACAGCAGCAGCTGTAAGCACACGGAAAAGGAAACAGCGTCTGTGAAGGCGGATCCTTCCACAAGGTCGAGCAATGGCGAGAGTGGTGACGTGTTCGCACTACACAAAAAAAGCGGCGGCGGTAGTTCTCAAGCAACCGTCGGCGCCGGTGGTGGCACCGGCGGTGGTGGAGGACGCGTTGCGAAGAAGGCGGATCCAGAGGCCGCACCGGAGGCAACAGCCACTGATGCTGCAGCAGACGCAGCAGTGGCGCGTGCCCTCAGATGCGAAGGCGTGGCTGAGCTGTCGCAGGTGCCGAACCTCTTTGACGATGAGAGCATTGCGGGAGTGGTTTTAGCGGCGACGGCAGCCTCGGAGGTGACAAATGCTATCGCGGACGGGGTAGAAAACGACGGGCGAGTGGGCGTCCCGGAGATGAGCATTACGGGGAGGCGGCTTAACCGGGAGGTACGGACCGGGTTTGTCTCTGTGCTGTTCGGCGAGGTATTCCACCGTGCCGCATGTATGGTGGTAGCGTCGTCGGCATTCATCGCGCGCTCAGGATGGAAGCCCTCACCCGCCGCCCCACGTGTTGCGCCGGAATAGTTAGCATTTGCTCCCTCTAGCAAGATCAGAGCACAGCACGCGCCTCCTACTGGTTCTCGTCTCTGTTTATGCCCCCCTTTATTTCCCCGTCCAACCAACGACCGCCCCGCCCCACCTCCCGAATCCGCGGGCTGTCTTGTATGCATTTCCGGGTACAAATGTCCCCCTTTCTTTTCACGACAGATCGGCGCGAAGAGCCGGTTTGTGGGATACGGCGATGGCGCGGCGTGTACGGTGGAGGCCCTGGTGCTACAGCACCTGTCGCAGCGGGAGGAAGGGAGCTGGGCGGGCTGGCACTGCGAGGGGTCGCCGCTGCGTTCGCTGTGGGCGCTGTTGATGTGGGACGTGATTTTCAGTCCGGGTGTTGCCGACGTCTTCCAGGTAGCATCTCGCGGAAAAAACCTTGTGCTGTGGTTGAGACTGTCGCAATGGTGAAGGCGCCAGCGAGCGTCGGTTTGTTTTCCAATCTCTGTGCTCTCGTCGAACCTGCCAAGCCCGCACGTTGGTTGGTCACCAGCGAGAGGACTTTTGCGCCTTGATGGTGCTACACAAAGGGGGGTAGGGGTGATGCGGTGGCACACGCCCTCTTCGCCCCCTCTTCTTGCTGTTGTTGATGCCTAGCCAGATGCCAGGGATTGAGTTTCGAGCAGTGATCGATGCCCGAAGCTTCAAAATGCACTGTCTGGGACAATAACGCGTTTTTTCCGTCTTTCGCGTGCCCATTCCGCCCCACCACCACCCTGCTGTCACGGCGGCTTCTCTATCCTTGTCATTCCTATGGCACCGCCCACCCGCCTTCCCGTCCGCGCGTGCAAACAGACGCCTTTCCAAGACGCCCCCCTCGACCTGGACTTCTGCCCTCTCTTCTACCTCAACCGGCGGACAGCCGTGGACACACGCCTGGCAGAACTCCGGGCCGCTTCTGCTGCCGAGTTGGTCGCTCTGGTGGGAGATGCCTGGCTAGCCAACGCCGGCACGGTGTGCCGTGGCCTTAACTGGGACAGGTCGTCCGTGCGTCACCTTCAGGTGCTGCTGGTTTGCGGCATTTTTCGATCACGCGGCCGGGCTTGGCGTAGCGTTCTTCGCTCTGCTGCCGGAGCCTGTAGTGGGCGTTCGTGCTGTAGGCGTGGTTTCTTGTTTGGTTATCCTCTCTCATTATCACCTCTCTCGCGTAAAGCACCCCCCACGGGACATAGGCCTTCGAGAACGTCGACGAAGACATAGGACGGTAGACGACGAAGACGACAAGTTCAAATGTGATTGCGGCTTCGAATGCGAAGACCGTGTTCATGTAGTCGCGGAATGTCCGTTGTACGAAGAGGAGAGGGAAGTGTACATGACTGAGCTGGGGAAAATACAAGGGAGGTACAGGGAGATGTTTGAGACATGGAATAGAGAGGAGAGGACGGTAGCTGTACCGGGGAGTACGAAGTGGTTTGAATAGGCGGGAAGGGATATCGTTAGGATAGACAAACTAGGGAAGACATTTTTGAGCCACCTTTGGCAAAGTAGGAAGGAACGATTGGCCATCGGTGATCGGTTCTGCGGGAACAATGCTCCGTCCTCTCGAGGGTGCGTGGTCAATGGTCTAACCGCTAAGGCATGCAAAACATAAGAGTACGCCCCCCCACGCCGTGTTTCGTCGCGGTTTCCGTTGTTTATTCCCACCTCCTCAGGCGATAGCGGCGGGGCTCGGGGGGCCTGCGATGGCCGCAATTTTAGCCGCCCTTTGCCTGAACCACAAGCACTTCGGGGGCGGTTTGCCGGACCTGCTTTTGATGCGAGCGGTGCGGACGGACACGAACGCCGCCGCTGTAGCCGCTGCCGGCGAAGGCCGAGACGGCAAAATCGCGAAGGGAAAGGCGGCGGCGGAGGCGGCACCCCCCGCTTTTGAAGCCGAGTCGGAAGTGTCGACGGTGCGTTTCTCCGGGGTGAGGTACACAGGCTAACGGTCATGCTGCCTTGTTGTGTGCTTTGTGTTGTCGGCGTCTCAAGTTGCCACTACGGTCGGTGAGCGCGCGAAGATCTTCCCCGCTCTGTATCTCTCGCGGCCATCTCGCAATATTCGACGAGGCAGTCCGCGGTTGATGAACATTCCGCCACGAACCATCGTCCACCGCGGAGGCAGAGAGAAGGGCCAAGTGGACTGCTGCTGCCGGAATTCCCCGTTTGCGCAGCCCCAACCCGACGACAACTGAGATCGAAGCCGGGAGACCACAAAAGTTTCTCGGCACGAAAACTGCTGTCCAGCTTGTGCTTATCAACTCCTTCCCTTGCCTGCTTTCTGGCGTGCAGCACGCCAAGTCTCTCGCCCGACCGCCTGTCTCCTTAAAGAAACGATCCGCCTTCACGATTCCTCGTGCCTGCCGTTTTTGCCGCTACGCCATCGACCAACCCACCCACCTCGAGAACATGACAAATTGACTGGGGTGCCTTGCTTGCTCACTCGATCGCTTGGCTTGCTTGTGCGTGCTGCTGGTTGCCCCATGTTACATACGGGTCTACGCGCCCATCTGCCGTGCGCCTGACTTTCTGGCTCCACTATCTGACCACGCGGCAACGACACGGCAGCCGGCGGCGTTTGTTTCCTGGCTCGGGATCGACTCGGAGGTTGCGTTCGATGTCGACGGAGGAGATGAACGGCCGCCGCCGCCTCCTACCGACGGGGGCAATGGAAAGAGAGGCAAAGGAGTTCCCATGAGACCGCCCCCGCCGCCGTTCAAGGCAGCTGACATGGCAGGCTTGCGGCTGGAGACTTGGTTGCTGGAAGTAAGTCGATTGTGCACTCTCGGTGTGGTTGTTGTCTAGATGCTTCGGTTGGTAGACGACACCGCTCACCACACATGATTTCCTCACGTCGTATGGCATTCTCTCGCACCCATGTAATCTGCTCTCTCGCGCACACTCTTTCTCTGCTCGCTGTGTGCGCTCCACCGCCAACAATCAAAACCAATTTTAAGACTCGGAAATCGCTCCTATGTGCCGCGTCGCTGCGTAGGTCAAGGGCCCCAGCGACCGATTGTCCGACCGGCAGACGGCTTGGCTGCGCATCTTGGACCGGGGCCGCGCCCTCGTGGGGGTGTGCCACGTTACCGAAGGTGCCGGTGGCAGCCACGTCGCGACGGCTACGACCACGACCAACGCCATCAAGACCAAGAAATTTAAACGTGAAATACGGGGTTAGTCCATGGAAACGTCGGGCGCAAACCACACTAGATTGGGACGTGAAAAACGGGAACTAGCTGCGTTGTTCGTAGGCTTTGCTGTTTTTGGGTACAGGAGGATTTCGCTGCCACACGGTCGAGGGGTGGTGTGTAACATTGTTCTTTTTCTAGCAGTGTAGAACAGATGAAAAAGCTAGGCGCTCTGGACGACAACTTCCCGGAAAACGTAGACCTATGTCTGCGTTGTAGATAGGATAGTAAAGTAGCGAACAAGCTGTTGGCCTTTGGTTTATTGACGGCCTTTTCTCGAGACGGCGTGCGTAATTCTCGTTCACCGAAGGGAATAGTGTGCTTGTCTCGAAAGAGTACGCTGCTTTCGTTCTGTAGTTTTGCTGTTGTTTGCTTGGGTTTCTCGGCCTTGATGCGTATCGTGCGGGTAGGTGACGAACTTGTCGCCCTGTGGACGAAGCTCCTGAGCCGGTCGCTTTCCACGATGTCTTCCTGACATTGCAGCGCCTACCGTAACCCCTCTAGGTGGTCAAGTCTAAAACGATTGCCCCGTGTGGGGTAGCTTCAAGCAACACGTAGCGGCTTGGGTGTAGTGCGAAATTCCAGCGAGGCACCTTGCACGTAATAGATAGCGATTGTTCGTCTTGAGGAAAGGGCGGCTGAACCCTTCTCATGATACGCCGTTAAGAGGATCCTATTCTGTGTGACCCTGGCTCGGAGCTAGGACGAATGGTAGATAGAAACTGCGAGCGGCGGTTGAAAAATGGTTTGGCGACAACAAAAAATCGTTGACAGTGGTCACTTTATGCGATACGGAAGGCGTCCAGCAATGTTGTTCTGGTTTCGGTTTCTGTTGCGCCGAAAAAACAACGCAAACAAAAATGCTCACTTGGCCTTCATCGCGGAGAGCACCCGTGCAAAACCTGAGCACGCGCTAAAGCATCACGCCATACATGTTTCTCCCTGCCGCCCGCCCTCACTCCATCAGCTACCAAACACATTCGTCGCTCCCTGACTTTTGCACGGCACAGTGTCTTTTGCGGCTTTCCAAAAGCGCAAGACCTTTCCTTACACTTCGATCAACAAGCCGATTCTAGTTCTGTAAAATACTAAAAAGAAACAGTCTACAAGGTTAACTGACACATAGACACTTGGATTCCTGCACACCGTCGATCGTCGGCTGTATCCCCCCCCCCCCTCCCATCTTTGGGTTCACCGCTAATAAAAGTTAGTCTGTGGTGTCCTCAGGGTCCTCCTCCAAACGATACCTACTAAAATTGATTCGTAAAAATCAAGAGGAACATCACCACAGCATAGGATAGGTAAATATTGAGCTCACAACACCGACCTCTCCAATCAACGAAATAGGTTCGACTGATGAGACCAATACGCAGGAGGCTAAGAAACATGTAGAGGCAAAATGCTATCGTCCCAGGTTCATTTCCCCCCGTCCTTCTCCCCTTCGCTATCGACGGCACCCTCTATATCGGTATTCCGCCTCCTCTGCACCTCCCTCGTTGAACCGCCCGCGAATGGCGACATCGTTCACAAGGCAAAACGGTGCGTGCGCGCTCGTCACGACAAGAGAAAGTTGGTCCACAACCGTTTCTGCCTTTTGCTCCCCGCCCGGAACACGGAAGACCAGCCTACCGAAGGGCAAGGAGGAACCACTTTTGAGAGATTTGCTGCCTGTACCATGAAAACTACTGCTGCCGCCTGCTGCGTCACAAGCAGACGTTGCATCCTTGCCGCCGCCGGCGACGGAGGGCCTGCATCAATTCCGGGAAGGCCGAGGAGAGTCACCAATGGCATGTGACGAGGGAGTTGCAAAACTAATGGGGGGTAATGCCTGTAGGCGGGGAATGGGACTGGGACTCGGTTCATGTGATACGGTTCAGCGCTCGGTTCATGTGATACGGAAGAACGAAAGCGGTGGCGTCTTATGAAACGAAGTGGTGGGGTGCTTCGAGTTTATGTTGCGGCATTGTCTGTTTTCAAGGAACAACGAAGCGGTCGTCCCTTGCCTACAAACTGCTCACTCGTCTGCCAGGTCTCCTACTCTTTAGCTCGCTCGCCCAAACGCTTCACCTTCGCTGCTCTCTGACTAGCTCCAACAACTTGCTTTCTTTCCCTCGATCTCCTCTCAATGATCTCGTGCCTTGATCATCGCCGCCGCTTCCCTCGGCTCTGCCACTTCCACTGCTGCCGCTTCCGCTGCTGCTGAACCTTTGTCTTGTGCTGCAGTTAATTTGACCGAGCTGCACGCGAGCCATGTCCACCCCTTCACATGCAACCATCACCTGTGTACAGCCGAAGCGCTACGTTAGTGCCAGCGTAGTTCCGTACATCAATACGCAAGCTCGCCGTCCTGCAGTAGTACGTGGCTGACGCGTCCTCCCTCCCTGTTGGGTTCGCCTTGCGCGTCTCAAAGGCGGCAAAATACGAAGGAATACCTTTGGATATTTTCATACAAGTACGGAGTAGGACCGGCCTGCGAATTACCTCGTACACCGCCACCGGTCTCCGTAACCGAATCGTTAGAGTCTGTGGGAATAGCCCAGTGGAAAGCCAGAAGGACGCAAGTACTCCGTCTACAGCGGCGCCTGGGGGATGCGACGGATCTACGCCCGTGCTAGTCGCTTCTCTGTGAAAAAAGAGGCAAGGATCGAGAAGTACACGGTGTTGTTAAGGTTGCTAGCGAGCCAATGCGGGTAAGCTGGACTCGTGGAATATTGATAATCATCCGTTAACAATTGAGAGAAACACACGTTGCATGCATTTAAAAATACCAGGGAGTGTGTGTGTCCTTAAAGAGGATTTTTCTCGTCAACATCATATGCTATGGCCGTGCGTGGTAGGGCGTCTTGAGAAAAGAGCGCGGAGCGGCCATCTGATTTATCCAAAGGCCAGTCTTGCACGACCGCCCAATGACCGCGTCGGACGATAGCAGGAGAGATTCCAAGTACATACAGTACGGTGCGCTGCTACGTGCGAGGAGGGGGGGAAATGCGAAGGAGTTTGTACGACCAAACTGATGCGTTGACAGCGGCAAGGTAACCTATCGACCAACAATGAAGACAAGACCACAACGCAGAGTACCAAGAGCACAGGGAACCCGACCGACGATATTAAAACATTTTGCGTGATGGGAAAACGGAGAAGCGTCCGAATATTGCGGTGTGGCGACGGCACCGTCGCATGTATGGTACTAACCCAAGAAGCGCTTGCGGGACGTCAACCACTTTCCCTCCTCGGCGGGGGAACGCCAACACATCTTCCAGCCCCTGCGTTGCGCGTCCTCCTTTTGCGAGAAACGTCGCGTCCTCCTCTTGCTTCCGCTGCCCCCTCGGCACGTCTTTTCCGTTTAGTGTCCCACGGCCACCGTCAATACTTTCGTTTCCACGTTTACCGTCTCCACCGTCCTCGCCCCCGCCCGTCTGTGCGCGCACGGTCGTGGAGGGGGGTCGTGGGGGCCGTGATGCTGAGGACTCTGTTGGATCTCTGGGGCGCTGCTGACAATATTTCCACCCAGATATCTCCCACATGACCCACCCATTCAACCCCCTATCGCCAGATAAACCAGAGAAACTGGAGAGGTTAGCGCCCCGTGGGGTCAAATCATACGGCGATACGACGCGACATGTCCACTGAACCAACCTGCTTGACTGCAAGTCGACGGCCAGCGACGCGGTGCTCCGGTATGGACGGAAGAGATCCAGCGGTGAAGCGCCGGGCCGTGAGCACTATCTGCTGGACCTCTGATGATTCCAACGTCTGGTTGACGCCTCGCCCTGTCAGCAGAACAAGAAACGTCACCAAACCACGCCGACCGGTCCCACCCAGCGATAATGAGTGCCGTAGCTCATTGAAAACTGAAAACCGGAACATGTGGGGCGTGAGGGCTGCAACACGACAAACACAGCAACCATCATTCCTGGGAGGTAGAAACATGACGATGGTGTAGTGCGGCTACGCGTGCGAATCCGTCCACGGCATGCGGTGTGAGCACGAGTGTAAAGGTAGAAATCGATGTAGATAGGTGTGGGTGCTGGCCGTCTGAGGACGGGTGAAAAGCGAAAGATATGTCCTCCTTCTTTCCGGCCACATCGAGAGATCCGGTGGTGGGTTGGGGGCAGAAAGCAAGCAGGGATCCTCGTCAGGGATGTCGTACCTTCAGAGCTACGGGGGCGGGGGAAGTTCTGCTCTTGTGTGGAGACTACCTTGACAATGGTACAATCTCTCCAACGTCTGTCGAGGACGATTCCCTCTTTTCACACTTGGCGGAAAAGAAAAAATATCAAGGAGACAGCCCAGCCCGTTCAGAGGAAACACACGATAATATTCGATGGCGCGCACAGGTCGGGCATTGGATTGTCTCGGGATGAGGTGCAAAAAGACCTAAGTCACCGCAAGAGATGTCTCTGCCAGGAGGAAGCACAAAGCCACCCGTAGTGGGGGTGGTAATTTCGGTGCCAGGAAACAACAAAATGCTCCGATCAACCCAGATCGAAGCTAAAGCGATCGTAAAAACGTGTCAAGAAAGACCTACCACCAGTCGACTCTCGTACTGTCTTCCCTACCGGCAGAGGTGACCGCTTGGTGGGCCACCGTAGAACGGCGCAGTTTGGAATCAAGATTCCCTTCCAAAGACATGCTAGTTTCGATCCCTCCGTTTCGATCGGTCGATTTCCAGGGCTGGGGGTCGTTCCTGTCAAACGCGCCTCTCTCCAGCTGGATGCTGCCAGCCTGTCTCACAGCAGCGATGTTGTCGTTCCCGACGAAGCTTTGTTGGCGCTTTGGTAACGTAGCCCCCGCCACCACCGCAGAAGCTGTTACGAGAGTGTCGTTGACAATGATGGCCAGCGCGGCCCCTCGACACGAAGACCCGTCCTGCTCGGGTTACACGGCAGAAGAGGTTAGGTGGGTGCGTAGCTTTGGTCGGCCGGCCGGCCAGTCAGGCGTGGGGCAAACTAGACGAGCTAGTAGCACTCCCTGTTGAGGGCGCGCGAATATGATTTCGCTATGAATGCCTCACTACTTCACTCCTCGAGGCGCGCGCATGTTGGGGGTCTGAGCGTGGTACAAACTTGCACCCGGAGGTGTCACTGCAGCTAGCCGTGTAGATAATAGCACGCAGAGCGCTGACCATCTAATTACCTATGTGTCGGAACTGCGGGCTGTACCACGTACGGAAGAACCGGGTGGACCTTTTGCGAACTGTGAGTAGAAGTAGAAACTATTACCTGAAGTGCTGCGCATGTATCTGTTCTCGGCTACGTCTCCGCACAGGACAGAGAGCGAGCACCGCTGCTTTGTAACGTCCTCTTTGCTCGGTTGGCTCCACGAAAGGGCAGACCCTCTCGGCAAACGCATAGATGGCGAACTTTGTCTAAACACCACTGCCTTGCTATGCTTCTGGTCGGGGAGAGACGAAACAACCAGTCAGGTGATTTTCTTCACTGTGAACCAATGTATACCTCGAGGTGATCCAAGGCTTGTTTGACCTTCTTCTTCTTGTCGTCAGTACCAGCCGTCGTTAGGAGCCTCTCCAGCTCGCACCTAGTCGCTTCACGGTCTATGAACTGAGCCGGAGGACGGACAACGCATAGAACATAAGTTCTACGATGGACGGGAACTATACAGAGCGAGGTGGATGGGCTCTACAAAGCGTTTTTTCGTGAGAACGCCAAATGACAAGTCTGCCCATTATATTTTTTGGTAAATACAAACAAACATGAGAAGCGAAGATGCACGTCCAGATAATCGACGCCTGCCATGTAAAGATTTTGGTTGTCCTGTTGACACATGGTAAACCGTTTGTTAGGTTAGATTGGCATCAGCTTGCCTCGGGCAACCGTGCGTGTTGATCCTCTAAGAAATCGGTATCTTTTTGAAGGTCCAGGTGTTGTAGAACACAGATGAGATGTGTAGATGAAGACTCGCACACAACCCATCATTCCTTGTGTGCACTAAAATATGGGTGCATTAATATTTTTGATGCATCCTCCATCCTTTCGACTACTGTTTTGTCAAGAAGAAAGCGGTAAGCAGAGACGGGCAACCATCGGCTACAAATTAATCGATGCCGGGAGTTATCTTTCTTTGAGAAGGCCCTGATGTGTTGAGCATTAATGTTTTTTGCGCCCCCTACCATTCTACGGTTCATTATGTAGAGGTCATTCACACAGGACCGTATGGTCTGACGTTGGCCTCTGCCTGAGACGGAGATATCTTTGCATCAAAGTCCAAGGTACTTCGCATGTTTTGTTATGCAGGCGCTCGAAAATTTGTCCTACTGCGGTTCACCGCACGTGCTTACAGAACCTCCGATGCTGGGTTGCATCGTCCATGGGTCTTTGTTCTGATCCGCGCGTAGACTACTGTACAGTAGTAGTCTAAGAAAGCCACACGGTCTATACAGTCGTAGTCTAGCTGGTTCACAACAGGTGGGTTTTATGATGAAAACGACACAGCTAAAGTACGTTGGTTCGAGATTGCTTACGTTCTCGCCGCGGCATGAAGAGTTTCGGGGGCTCAGGATCGTGGCCACGGAGTGGAGCTGAGACTGCTGCTGCGACTGCAGCTGCTCTTGCTGTTGCTCGATGCCTTCAGCCAACCTCGTTGCCATTCGGCCATCGGTCAGATTTCTGCCAAGAGGGGCGTTCGGGCCCGAGCGTAAATGCGACTAGCTGCTCCTGCGTGCTTTCGCACGCTTTTGACGACGTACGGTTGGTGTTGGACGTGCAAATGGAGGGAGATGTGGTACTTGCACACCGCTCATCGCCAGACTCAACAACAGCCTTGGCCGAAGCAATTCACCCTGTCTCACGCTTGCTGACTCCACGGCTGCCTGTGCAGTTACTGTGTAGGCAGCAGACTGTATGCCGCGCGCAAGTAGAGCATCCTCGGCGGCGGCGGCGGTTTCAACGGGACTGTGAGAGGGCGAGGGCGCAGGCACCCACAAAACTCACCAACCGCAGAGAGATCGCATTGTAGACTGACTATGCGAAATGGAAGCACTCCACTCCGTGTCACTCTCGCTTCAGGTCTAGTGTAGCTGCCGTATGCAACTGACAGCGTGCCCCACGTACGCCTTCGATCTCCCAATCCTCGGAACGGTTTCACGGGACTGTCAATTCGCAAACGAACACGCAAACCTGACGCAAACACACCCCGCGAACCGCGGTGGGGCATTGCCCAATCAATTAAAAACTAAATATGCACGCATATGCACACACGTCCCGCACTAGCAGGCACACTAAACGAGCAGCCGTCATATGCTAGATTGCAACATTTGCAGGGACATACGGCAATGGTTGCGTCGGAGGCCCAGAGTAAGACGTTGGCTCCGGTGGTGGCATACTTTGAACGGACACATCGTCGGCGGGAAGAGAAAGACGTGGCGGACAAACGGTAGGTGGTGTGGTCGTACATGCACTCACCTCCTCCATCCATTGTTGTACTTTTATTCTACGTGTGAATGGCTCTGCACACCGGACACTCTTCCATGGGCACCTCGCAGGTTCATCGCTTCTGTTCAAGAACTTATGCGGGATGAAGGAAAGGATCAAACAAAATGGACGGAGAGGAGGCGACGCCGTTTGGGGGGCGATAGCGGCGCCAGCAAACCAGCCCGTGCTATGGTGATGAGTTGAAGCTTCCGACCCACGGACAAAAATCTATGATTATACCTCCAGACAGGCGATTTGTTCAGCCGGCTGGCATCACTGCTTTCTCAACGTGTAGATAATTTTAACAAAGTATAGAGGTTAGTATCCAACATGTGTTCCCTCAACAAATGCATCCCTTCGCGGGTATTTTCTAAGAAGCAGGAGCACCACCCGCGTTGCCGCCAACAGCAAAAACCGTCAACAGGCAATAAACTCAAGGCACAGGACAACGAGACACTCGATCCCACGCAAGCGATGAAACGGGTTGGGCAGTTGAAGTCTACCCTGGCGAAGGCCCCAGACCCCCCCGCGGTCGCGGCCGAGCTGGCACTGCTGTACCTTGTACTCTCCGACCAAAGGGGTGCTTTGAAGAGCTTTCAGCTGGCCGCCAAGCCATCTCCTGGTAAGTCAGACACCCAACAGTGAACCCCGAAAGCGAACATCTGTACGACAGGCCGTCACCTTTTTGTTGATAATTTTTCGTCTACACTCTCGCAGTTTCCAGCTACCTTACGACCTGGCTTCTCTAGAAGCGGAAGAGCTCCGATCCGGGGTCACACACGGGTTGGTTTAATATCAACGTACTAGTATCACCGTGCTATTTTTGTTGCCTTCGCACAAAGCGCTCTATCCGCTTCCTCCATATTTCATGCATATCATCTCCATCATCATAAAGCTTCAAACAACAGCCACTTCAAACCTTGTAGGGACAGCGACATCTCTCGAACGCACCTCCTAGAAAGGAAAGGACGGTATTCAGGTTCGACGGATGCAACTTTGTTGTAGCACGAATAACTTGGTGGTGGTAGCGAGTGCCTAAAATATGCGCAGAACTCCGGATACATATACCCTTGCCTGACCATCTCTTGAGAAAAAAAACTTCAACCACAATACGATCACGTCCTGACGTACCTTGTTCTCACACGGATTCGAAATCCGACGTGAGGGATCGGAACACAACGATACAGAAAAGAAGGTACAAACATGTCTTTAGCGTGCCCGTATCCGAACGCTAAAACCTAGTGGTTTTCTTCCGCTAATCTTTTGATGTTTATCTGTTCTTGCTCGCTCGTTTGTGTGTCACCATGTCTTATCCGATGGCGCGGGTTGCTACCCTTCGGTGGTTTTCGTTTCGCTTCAACCCCTTTGCCTGTCCCCACTTGTTCCCCTCCCGTTCACGTCCCAACCACCTCAGAACGCGTCCCGACGAAGGAAGAGACGGACAAGAGGGAGATGCAAGAGCGCCGACTGATGTTGCTTAACAAGGACCGGAGAGCCGAGGCTCTCGCCCAGCTGGAGGCCCAAGACGCAGAGAGGGAACGAGAGCGCGAAGCAACCGAGCACGCCAGGAGGAGAAAGGCGGCCACAGGAGTCTACCGGTGCCTCCTGGAGATGAAGCAGCCCGTCCAGGCGGCGGAGGCTGCGAGAGCGAGGCTCGACATGTGCGAGACGCGCGAAGAGCGCCAGCAGGTACATGTAGTACATAGAGTACTTGCTTCTCGATATACATTCATTCCAACTCAAGCGATCTTCATGCTTTGACGGTGTTTTCTACTGGTTCCCTGCTGCCACGTGATTCAGCGCAGGGGCGCCATCCAATGATGCTCGTGAAACCTCTTCAGCACGCTCGTTGGTTTGATTCCTAACACATACCGAGTGTGAGTGAGTTGTTGGAGTTATACTCTTAGTACGAGAGGTTGGTTCCACGTCGCAAGCCGTTGAAAAAACGTTGCAAAGGCTGACGTTCCGGAGAATAGCGTGGGCCGAGGAGCGTGGAGGCGGGGGGGCGTCGTCTTTGCTGCTCTCCTTGGGGTCTTGAATTTTTTGGTTTTGTTCATTGGTACGAAAAGAGATGCAAAGGGTTTCTCGCCAAATCCCTCAAACAACAAGCACACCAACAGCGATACGCCACCACGGCAAGTTCAAGAGCCCACAATGCGGCAACGTTGAGCGTTGTATGTGTCTACGAAAATCTTCGGTTGTTTCAATTGCAACACTTCGCGAGACGTCTGGTCACGGCACCGCTAGGTCGAGACGGAAATCCATGAGACGTTGCTCAAGTACGATGGTCTAATCGAGCCGGAAGCCACGAACCAAGGGGCGTGGCTCACGGAATCCGCGGGGGCTCTGTCGGACCTTCACGCGGACGTGCTCCGGAGTCTGACCGGCTTTTCCATGCACGAAAAAAGTGCATCTCCATCATCTTGCTGGGGCACCTCTTCCTCAGGAGGAGCAATGGAAGCGGTAGACGACCCGGAAGAGGGATCGTGTGCACCAGGAATGGAAATCAACCACCGGGGAGGCGGCGTGGAAACAACAGGAAGAGCCGTCGGTGTCAGCGCGGACGGTTACCGAGGGAACAATCTGCTGGAGGGCGGTGACAGCACACTGACCAAGGAGGGCGCCTTCTCAGCTACTGTCTGTGAAGGGGCGGGTTCCAGCAGGGGGTACACGTGCGGCGGCAACGGACCGCGTGATGTTGCGGCAACAACGGCAGAAGTCGCCCCCGATAGAATGAACAACGCCGAGGAGGAACGAGACGTAAGAAGGAGCAGGCTGCAGGACCTCGGGCATCTTCTCGTTCGCAAGAGGCAGTTTACCGCTAGTAGACAGGTACGACGACCTGTCCTGCGTTGTTGCGGCCGTGTTGGTTGCCGAAAATCGTCGGCACCGCGAATTCTCCTGGGTGCTGGCCTGACCAGACGATAGTTTAACAGTGCTACGAAAGACAGCGATGATTGGTGTCCGATGACGGGGCTCCATGTCTAACGGGACCAAATCTATTCCATTCCAAGAGTGCTTGCAAGGTCGGGTCTGGACGCCCCCAAGACATGAAGCATTATTTACAAACGTACACGATTGATTCCGCGGCGCATGTGCCCCGTGCCCGACACCAGGACCAACCTCCCAAAACCTTCCGAACATCCCGCGTTTAGTTGTGCTGGAACACCTTTCCAACGCCACAGGCTGCTGGGGTGATGGGGGACGAGTCTTTAAGCTCTAAAGCAAATAGTTCGCGACTGTATTCTTTCGGTCGACCCGCTAGCCCTTGGGCATGCCTCCCTCCATTAACACATTCCCATCAACCAGGCTTTCGACGATGCCAGGCGTGGCGGTCCCGACGAGGCTTCACTACGGGAGCGGAACAAGGGGCGAACTCCCGGTTTCTTTATCGATGGCGCTCTTGAGGAAGCGTCCCCGAAGATTCGTCTGGAGCTAGACTCCAGGTAGGTATCGTATTTCAATGAACCCCAGACTGAGTAATTCAAACGGCGAAAGTTGGATTTTCTTGTTATCTGGAAAAATGCATCGACGTTGTCCAGACGCCGGTCTGAGCGAGGGTCCAGAGACAGGTCGTCAGCGCATACTTGCGTGCGGTCAAGGTTACCTGGAGAACATTGCTTTGTGGTAGGCCGACATGCACCGCCGTTGTGTCGGACAATTAGTGGTAATATCGACGTCGTTGACATGATGACTGATGATAATATGTGGTCGCTTGTGCTGAGTGTCTTGTTTGGTGTTTTGCTACATCGTACTACAGGGCCGTCGAAGCCGCGTAGGTACACGCAAACTAATCCCACCGAACTGCTGAGCACAAGAAAATCTCTCTTTCGACAAAACCAACGTTAGGTGGCAGGGCGGGGTGGAGACCGATGATATCCGTCGTCGCGCACTCGCCAACTTCACGGGTTTCACGGGGCTCCACCGGGGAGCCGAGACCCTCGTGGCCGTGGTGCCGGCGGCGGGGTGGGCGGACGGCGGCAACGCTATCGCTTCCGAGATCGCGTACGCGGAGCGCCTCTCTAGGTCGAGGATTCAGGTTGATTCGCTGCAGCAGCATGTACGGACGGGGGGGGGAGCTACACGTGGCATCGGCGGGGCGGGGGCGTGTGTGGCAGCCGGCAGAGCTGGTGGCGCCGGTGCAAAGCAGCCAACCGCCGCCGCTTCGGGGCTCATGCTGCGCCACTTGGTACCAGCGAAGGATGTAATCGCTAATATACAGATGTGAAGAGCAGTCTACGGTGCTTATGCTGTCATCAATCATGTTGCACCCTGCCCCTTTTGCACGAGCAAGTGCTTTGCCGTTCGTGACAAGAAGGTTTAAAATGTCCTTTGGTGTATGAGGTTCAGGCTCGACATCAATGTCCTGCTTTGTTGACGTAAAGATTGTTTCCCTCGGCACTTGGGTGCGGAGATGCGTCACGACCTACATCTGCCTTGTGTGGTCCGTGTTGGGTTCTGTTTGATCTTCTAAGAAAAAAAAACGTTGCTCATAAAAGGCAAACCGCCAAAAGCTGTCGAATGCCTCTCGTTTCGTGATCATGCAAAACGTATGGCAGGGTTCGGTTCGTAAAATGAACTCCCACCTGCAGCATACCGCAACCAACCACGACCGAGCTTACTTTGTGAACAGTGAACTCAAGGCACTATCTCCACTATTGGTGTGCGTTGCCCCCCCCTCATCGCAAGGTTCGCCCTCCAGTCGATAAAAAGTGCCCACCCCAAAAAGAGGCCCACCGCCGCCAACACAAGACTATTATTAAGTAGCCGGTAGGTGCCGCCGTGGCCACCATTAGAATGCCGTTTCCCCAGCACCTACTCTGCTCTACTCGCTTCTCCCGGCAGTAATGTCTACCGCGAGCGGAACTACGAACCCTCGCCGTGCTCACGAAGTCTTCAGCATATGAGAACGCCAACGCGCGTCGACAGCAACGATACCTTCACAAATGCGCGCAAGATAGTACTGGCGACCCTCAGCCCATGCTGGCCGTCAAGACAGGCGAGTACCACACCGAAAGGACGGGGGGTTATGCCCATCTCAAACCGTAGGGGGCGGGGAACACACACCAAATAGGGTAACACGACACACGAAACCAAACATGCCCAGCGCCAAGACTACATCATACGTACGCCATGGTGGCAGATGGATCGATGTGCGTGTCAAGCTCTCCCGAAGGTTGGCGGCTGTGATCCTCGGACTCTTCGTTTAAAGTTGTGCCATCATCACGCGAGCATTCCCTTCGTGCTCGGAATACCGGCGTTTGCATCCGCCGATATGGCTGTTCGCAACGCCACTCCAGTGGCCTGTTTGTTGCGCGCACGGGAATCCGGCGGGGAGTTGTAAATTAGACTGTCTTACCACAAACGGAAAGCAAATCAACGTCGTTACTGGTCTGTGTACAACGGTCGCTAGAGATACCACAGGTCTCAGGCATGCGGAGAGGGGGACAACCATGCAACAAGAGGTACCTTTGTCACAACCTCTTTCGATTCGCTTCATGCCGCAAGCTGTCCTGGCCCTCGTCGAGGTAATTGCAGAGGGGGGCACATCGACGCGCAGAAAAACACCACAAACACCACCACCACCTGCAACAACAACGACAACAACACTATAACAAGCCAACAATCTTCGTTCTGTGGGGCAACAAGAGACGCAATCAATGAACCGGGTGTGCATGAGACGTGCGCCCAGCAGAAACGTACCTTGAAGGCGCTCTCGGCCATGTGGTGGTTGTTGGTGCCCTTGAGCACGTCCACGTGCAGGGTGATCCTCGCTCCCTGCGCGAAGGACTCTAGCACGTGCTCCAGCATCTCAGTCGAGATTGTCCCGATCATCTCCCTTTTTGCCCCGGTGGTGGCGTTGTTCGTGATAAAATGAAACACAGCGGCAACACACAAACGGAGGCAGACGGCCGACGAGGATTTGTGAGAATGACAGAAAGTCGCAAAAAAGAGTGTCATTTTTGGCATATCGGACGGCACCAACATCAGCACCATTTTGCCATCATCACGACCACCCATGACGGCTAAAACAACGTACAAAACTCGTTCATTTCTTCTACTCACGTCCTTCCATCCATGCTAATCGACCAACCCATCAAATCACCTCGTAAAGTGCAGCTGGATGTCGGCGTGGGGTCGGCTGGAGATATCTACCACCGCCCTGCTGAGAGACTCATCGAGCGGGCACATGGCCGTCCCCCATCGCCGAATACCCTTGCGTGCACCGAGCGCCCTGGCGGAAGGAAAAAGAGCAAAGCCAGGACAGAAACGGTGGAAAATAGCTGTGAAACACACGAAAAAGGGCGCAAAAGAGGTAGGAAGCACTCTTTAAAATCTGGGAATTCTCGTTTCGATTCCCGATTCCCCATGTCCGAACGTCTGATTATCCATGCTGTGCGCAGACACACGCACGAAATTCCTACAACCAGTTGGTACCAGTCTAGTCAACGTCACGGTGATGAAAGTGTCCGATCCCACTGGTTGAGTTTGATTCCAGCAGTGGGATTGATAATGCACAAGAGCTGCTGCTGCTGCTGCGGCCGCCGGCGCTGCGTTCTCCGGAGAAAGGGGCAACGGTGTCTAGCTGACTGGCTGCCGCTCACTTGTCGAAGGCCTCGCCCAAGGCGATGGCGCAGTCCTCCGCCGTGTGGTGGTCGTCGATGTGGAGGTCGCCCTTGCACGTGAGCTTGAGGTCCAGGTGGCCGTGCTTGGCCATGGCGTGGAGCATGTGGTCAAGGAAACCCAGGCCAGTGTCCACCTGGTTGACCCATCATCGGTGATGGTTGTGGCAAACCGCGTGATAGGGCACGTACTGTTATGTCGACACCGCAGCATACACAGTTCCGGATTTTCGTTCGATGCAGCCGAGACGTGACTCCGTGACTTGTCACTGACGGCATGGGAGACAGAGAGAGTGTGTCCAACCAAAATTCAGTGCGAGCAAAGTATCGACGGGGAGTTGGTGTGGGGGGCATCGACTAACATGGTGATCATCGACACGTATGCAGTGCCACGTGTGCGCGCCTGCTACCGAAAACGTTGTATTGTGGCTTTGTGTGTACCTGCCAGAAGTTAGACAACGCGAAACAAGATCTGGAGCAGGTTCTTGTTGATTTTCTTACCCTGGGGCTTCGTCTAACGCTATCTACACAAGACACCCTGCACACACACGATCGTTGGCGTAGGTCACCCACACGAAAACGAAACCTGAGGATGTTCGACTGCTACCAAGCTTACGTCCGGGTCCAACGGGTTCAGTCCGCCACACCAGGTTTACTCTGGTTCAGTCAGTCTCGGAGTGCATAAACCAAACCCGAAATTCTAAAAAAAAACAGACAGAAAACGAACGCATTCGCACGAAGGCAAGAAACAACATGTACCGCGACGACAAGCGAACCCTCGTCGGAGAACAACATAAAACGTTTACCGCTGTCATTGTCGATAAACGCTATGTACCTCGGCCTTGCCGGTGCCGTCCAAGGAGATATCCACCGTGATCGCTGTCTCGTTGGTTTTCCTGCGGCGATCGGTCGTTGTTGAAACATGAAACGTCAAGATACGCCACGAGTGCACAAAACCTCCAAGTGCAGATCACCGCATCGAAAAAAAAGCACTCCAGCAGTAGTCACTGTGCAAACGGCAACAAAGTCACGCCGTGCTTGACACATCGCCGGTGAGAAACCGAAAAAAGAAACCAAAGCTGCGGGTGTGGATCATCTGGTGAGCAGAGACCCCGCAAACAGGACTATCCTAGGAACTTTTACGGGGGGCTCGGAGGAGACGGGTGTCAGTGTCGGTGGTGGTGCCAGCTGCAATCGTGCGGTGGCAAAAACAAGAACTACCCCACCGCCCACCTCTGTCGAGCACAGGAAGCCAAACGAACGCATCTCTGGCCGGCGGTCGGCAACTGGAAAGATGAGAAAACAAGAGCTGAACTAACTCGCTGCATCACAGCAGTTCTCACACCTCGAGATTTCGGCGCGCCTGACTCCCGTTGCGTCGCGCTTCTCCTCGCTTCCCGCCACCCCTGCCCCAGCCAAGCCTCTCGGGGTTTGGTGGGCAGCGAGAGGGGGAGGCACAATATCCAACAGCTGCGCGAACCCAGGCTCGAGGACGTTGGACGCCCCGGCCTCCAGCATCGCCGCCGTCAGACTTGGCGGCGCTCCCACGGCGCCTGCGCCGCTGGCCGGGTCTAGGATGGCGTGCGCGTGATCCTGTTGGGCACGGGCGCGAGGTGGGTTATCGGGAGAGGGGGGGGGCAGTTGCAGCGCGGGGGGGTTACGACAGTGGCAAAGAGGACGAAGAACGAAGAAGTGGTGTGGATAATGTGTGCCTGCGACCGGTTTGAGAAGAGCTTGAACACTGCCGCACGTTTCCTGGTGCGAGTGCAAATTATTGTCACAATCCAAAGCTTAGCTGGTGCGTCTGTTGCTCTGTGTTCGCACCTTGGGTGTAAGGACGCCGATACCTCTCGCTCCGGCCCTCACCGCCGCCAAAATGTCATCTGGAGTGTCCCCTACCTGTTGGCGCCGACGAATAAGTTGGACGAGGGGTTAATTGCAAAACAAATCGAAAATTCGGGGGAAAGAGTGCAAGAGACGGCGATTTTTCCAGAGGAAAAGTGCGGGGGGGTGGGAGTGAAAGAGAGAGAAAACGAATGTGAAAAGGGGCAGAGAGCGCACAGCACAGCACGGTGCAGCAAGGAGAAGGGGCCACAAGCGGTTACATGCCGCGTTCCGTCGGTGTCTGTGGGCAAAGAAAGACAAAAACAACGACAAAAAATGCCCAGAGATTGCCTGGCCCAAAGAAGCAGGGGAATACAGGCCCTCATTTTTACATCCCCAAATCAATATTCCACGAGATCGGATGCGACACCAAAATTGTCTCTCCAAGAGCAGAGACTATTATAGCGCACCAGCCCGGTGTCCTTGGGGTCGACGCCTAGAAGCTGGGCGGCCCGCGTGACCGGGAAAGGGTCCGGCTTGGACGGTCCGTCTTCCATGCAATACGTAGCCTTGAAGAGGTGAGCCAGCCTGGACGGATGTATCGCGACGAATGCGCAGCACGCGGGGCACACCGACGGCAAGCAGTAGCAGCAGCAGCAGCAGCAGCAGAGTTAACGACCCAACGATCAAGTGCATCACCACAGCAGTCATGCGCCCGTGCTGCAAGCGCAACCAAGCCTCTCACTGACAAACTCGGGGCGTGAGTGCGCTATGCCAATGATATCAGAAGGAACATACGGTTAGGCGTCGGCGCCCTTGACTCCTGGGGAGTTCTGGTTGCTGCTGCGACAACCGCGGCTCATTTCTCCAATCATATCAGCCAGGAACACTTCGTGTTACTCCATATCTTGCAAGAATAATAAAGAAACAATCCGTACCCATGTTTCTGAAGGAAATAGTCGCAGTCGCCTCTTGGCCTGCCCGTGACGATGGCCATGCCCATCGGCAGACGTCGTGCGAGCTCCTCCAACACGCCTTCAGATAAAACGCAGAGGACGGGGGCAGACGGGGTGGGGGTAGCTATGCAGCAGTTGTTGTATGGGCCGAAGGAGAACGATGTCAGCCATGCGAGCGAATCGCAGGAGAAGGCCTAGCATTGCGAATAACGGGAAAGTAAAGAACAGCATTCAAAAGGATTCGATAAGCAGCATCGAGGTGCCGGGTACGTGAACAATACTAGCCGCAGGCTTTTGGAACACACTTTGTTGTTGTCAAATACTCCAGATGAGGGCCGTCGGAAAGACTCACTGACGGCTGTTCGAATCGGTAATACTCATTGATAGCTGTTCTAATCGGTAAAACCCATTGACAACTGTTCTTGAACCGCCTCCCCCGCGCCGTGAACCAACCCAGCTCCCACCCACCCCACCTTTAGCCGGGATGAGAGTCTCCACGTCCTTCAGCCCCGGCACGCCTTGTTTGCCTTGGTAAACCTCCTCAAACTTGGCCGTCACGACCTCGAGGGTAGGGGCATCAGACGTCTTCGCCTGGATGAGGCTGAGGGTCAACTTCTGTGAGCGGAGAGAGAGAAAGAAGGAGGGAGAATCAGATGTGCAGAGAAGAGGGAAGGGGATAGAGAGTAAACGTATGCTAGCACCGTGTGGGGGCGGCGGCACCGTATGATGGATCAGGCTCAGGGAGAATTTGCCACCGTTGATCTTTCGTTTTTACCACTACGCCAGTGCTGTGACCTAGCACGGACAGCGTCACCAAACCCGTAGCCACGGGTTACTACGAGCGAAGCGAGCAACCCCCTCTGCATCCACAGGCCTTCTTACGCTCAAATGCTTCAAGCCGAAAACGCCAATCCCACACCGACCCACTCTTGTGAGTTTTTTCGTTTGGCGTTCACCATGATTCGCCGACACAAAACGCGCGCGAGGCAACACCACGAGAGGAAACAAAACGTCTCACTTCGTACTTGACGCACGTCGAACGTTTGTCGATAGTTCGGGCAACAGCAGCACCGCTCAGGTTTCATTTCATTGCTCCCGACCTCAACTGATTTTTCGAAAAGGCAAACCCACGAAACCCACGCACCCAGTCGTTGTTGGCGTCGCCCTTTATCTTGGCCGCCGTGATCTCGTCCAAGGTCACAGCCACGCCGAAGGCAGCGGCCGTCTGATCCATGAGGCGTAAAAGATGGAGCAAGCACCAAGCATGGTTTGTAGGTGGGGGAAGCTCGATTCCGTCGGCATCGTCCAGGAAGCACTAAAGCTCAACTGCAGGCTGGTTCTTGGCAGTTGCGGAGCACACAGCTCAGTTGATGAGGGTTGGCTGGTAGGGGTTTCGCGTTTAACGCAGCACACCATAAGTTTGCCGTGATCACCTAGTGTGTTTTCGCCAAAGGGAGTGCTGAACCTTTCTTGCATTACAATTGAAGGCAAGCTCCGCAGGGGGAAAGGTGGAGAGAAAACATCAGATCCTGTGTTTTCCGTACTTCCTTCATGACCCCGGTGGTGCGTCTAACGCTTACAGAAAGGTGAAAACTGGCGCCCAGAATAGATACGACGAAAACAATCAAATACATCCGTGAGACCTTGACACCGCTCGCGTAGCTCAGAAAACACCTGAAATAGTTTTCGGCCGCACACGCGAGCGGCACCCACGCTAAGGCCATCGCTCCGAAACGAATCTAAAACCGACCCCTAACTTCGCGTGTAATTCCGCATGTGGTACACTACATACATCATGGCGTGGTGAACCAGCCCTGTTGCCCAGTTGTGTGGGGAGATAGACTTTGCCTTGCGTGACTCCTCTCCAACACGAAAGGTGCCGATGCGTACTGTAGCATTGCGGTGTTCTAGGCATTTTATCGAAAAGCTACAAGAAAGTCTCCAGCAATTGGCACCCTTCGCTATCCGCCTACCGTACAGATAGCGATAATTCGATGCTGTCATTGGAGTAGTGGTGGTGGTGGGGGGGTGGTATGCTACGTCATGGTCATTGCCGTAGACTCACATCCACGATAGCCTGCCTGTAGGAGCAAGAGACCTCCGCCAGCACTCCGTCCATATCAAACAGGAGGGAAGTGAGAGTCATGGAGCTTCCGGCACACCAAGCGTTGGAGACGTGCGTGGCACCAGAAGGACAGCGGGAGCAAAGACGACATGTGTCGTCGTGGCGGGGTTGGTCTTGCTCATGTTTAAATGCGAGCAACCTACACACGTGGAAATGGCGAGGTACTGCTGCTCTACAATCGACCCACGGCTTCGCTACCTGGCCGAGAGCGCAGACACATGTGACATCTCTACCCGGGGTCACTGCGGTGTGTTGCGATGTACCCTCACACCTCTCTCAAGCTGTGCTGGATGCTGGACGGCAGGTGTGAATGTCGCCAACTTTTCGCTTGTGACCAGCAGTGAAACTGGAGCGACTCATGTGATGATAGCCCGAAAAAGCACAACGAATTCGCCCAGAACTGACCTGTTGGTGGAAGCCATGATCGCCACTCCGAAAGGCAAGGGTCGTTGTCCATCAACAGGGGCGCGGGATTGTCATGGTGATGTTCGAGTCACTCGCGGTTGATTGGCTCACAATTACGCCGCATGTCCCCGAAAAATGAACCGAGGCCTATGCATATGTAGACAAGGGAGAGACAGCCGACAGCCGCCACCCGCCACCCCATCCTTCGCCGCCACCCGTGCGCACAACACACCCTTGATGTCGGAGCTGAAGCGCAAGAGAGAAGAGCATGACCCTGAAGAAGAGCCGGATGTGACAGATGCGATACCTGCTGCTTCGCCAAGGGCAGCGCCGGTTCCTCCAACGGCGGTAGCGGTCCAGCCAGCCACAGCAGCAGCAGCCGCACCACGAGAATCAACGGCGTCGGAGGGCAGCAAAAGTGAGGCGGCAGGACCAACTGCTGACACAGCAGTAGCACCAGGTGGCACTGACCCGCCTGCGATTTCCGCAGAGAAAGACGCGGCAGGAGCGACGTCGTCGGGCACACGGCGAGGAAAGTCGAAACCACCAACAACGGCAGGGAAAATCACGATTTGCGGCAAGGAGATCACCCTCCAACACACGGGAGGCCGCAAGAAACGAAAGCACCCGATGGAAACGCTGATTCTCCTGGCCTACAAAGACGAGCTGACGCTCAAGTGCAAGGCAAACAACATGGTCTCCGCGCTGGAGATCCACCAAGAGATGAAGAGCAAGGGCATCAAGCAGGACCTCTCGGTGAGAAAAGCAATTTCGTATTTTGTTGGCTTGTCGCGAACTGGGTGGTCCTCGTGTTCCCTCGAGGGAAGACAGACTTGTCGACAACCGTCGGTCCACGGATCGGCGGGCGATGCTCACACCCATGGGCGTGGTTCTCCATCCACGGCTCTCCACTGCGAATTTGACGGGATCGAGTAGCGTACTAAACATTTTGGCACCAACTGAGAATAGCGGCAACATCCCATGTAGGAGACGCGCACTCCCTCGAATCCCTGTTGAGCATGTGCCGCAACCTCCGCCGACTGCCTCCTACCCGCCGCGGAATCATGTCTGACATCTCTCGGTGCGCCAGACCCACATGATGGTGCTTTCGCTCTGCGGGGGATCACCGGGTGACAGAGACGAGCTGGACCCAGGCAACGGCCTGACAGGCGGCCACGCTGCCAGCGTCGAGAGAACGGCTGCCGCCGTAGCCAAGGGGAGGGTCGAGGGCGCTTCCGCTCAAGACAACACCTTCGCTGCCGCCGAGGCGGCGCTACAGGTGCATGTTTGTTGGGGGGGGGGGGGAGGGGGCAAGAGGAGGGAGTGAAAAGGGGGCATTCACCGGAAGTTGCGCTTGACGTTAAGCGTTCAGAGTGTGGTTTGTTGTTGGATATAGTTGCCTGTACTACAGTACAGCTGTACACATGTAGAAACACCTATATTTTGTCACTTCAGCGCCCACAGCATTTTTGCCGGGTAGCTCAATCCGTGGTCGGTCACACACGAGGGGTCCCTCTCCCTGTGCCCCCTACCCACCCCTCCTGTGTACTCTGAAGCACAGAATAATCGAGAGGCGATGGCTCTCAGAAGTGCTGGTTTGTACTCGTCTATGACACCGGCATTCCTGATGCCTCCCGACTGCCGTATTCAACCGCGTGATGGTCGCCTACAAGCATGTTACGGTTGACTCTTGCTGAGTCTCAGCGGGGCCTTACTTCTCTCTTTCCCCTCTTGTTCGCTGTCTCGCCGGGGCCCTGTCAACCGTATCTGCCTTGGGTCTCATCGGCCGGCAGCGCAGATATTTTCGGACGCGTCGAAGGGCGGCACGGTATCCTTGCCGGAGTCGGCGTACACGGCCGTGATTCGCGCGTGCTGCCGGGATGGCCGAGCAGACAGGGCCAGAGAAGCTCTCGAGGCCCTCAAGCAGGCGGACTTGAAGCCACGCGTCAGGTGGGGTGGGTAGGGTTGCGCGACTTGTTTGCAAGTTCTTTTGTCGTATTCCGCTTCCTTTGAATTTTCTGTCCAACGCTGTTCGTTCATAGCCTCTGCCGTAGCCCCACTCCATGTCGTCGCCCATCACCTGAAGAATGGTAGTAGACTTGTTGGCGGTAGTTGTAGCCCCGGGCCGTAGTCGTTGTGTTGAACATTCCCCCCCGATGCACACCTCTTATTCAGCACCGGGGCGATCTTTTCCCGCCGATCTTCACGCGCCCCCCCCGGGACAAACACAGCAACTCGACGGTCTCCTCTCTTGCAATTCAAACCCTTGCTACTTTTATCCTTCCTCTGTTGAATGGTTTTTCGTACATCGTACATGACAGATGCTTTTCGGCCCGACATCGCTGCAGAGACGTGTTCCTGTGTGTGGTGTTAAGTTTCTGCTTATTAACAAAGACCCCCCTGCCGTTTGCCCCCTAAGGTACTGTATTATTTTAACAAAGACCCCCCCTGCCGCTTGGTAGGGTGATAATATCCCGCAAACTTAACGATTGTAGCGCAATGCCACAATACTCAGTTGTTTACGTCGTTCGTGTTGAACTTTCCGCTCTTGTTGAGTTGTGCTACGAAAGAGACCACACCCAGCGCGCTTCGTGTTCGTGTACAACTCAAGCAGGGAAAATATTTTAATCCATCTGGTCTTCTTGCATGCGCGTGTTGTTTTTTCGGTCGGTTTGTCGATCATATCAGCTTACCATTTGCCTACATACCTGTAATGTACCTGTTCTTCCGTTTCCCGCAATACATCCTTGAAATGTCCTCTTTCTTGTTTTCACCTTGTTTTGCTCTCGCCGGCGTTGCTGACGCCTTGGGTGCGATGCGCTCGTGCTTCGTGTTATTTTGAACCTCTGCTTATGCTGATATCGTTTCCTGTCGAACACCCTGTTACCAAACGCAATGTTCCATCAGGACGTACACGCCGTTGTTGGAGGCGTACTCGAAGCTCGACGGCCGGCTGGAGGACTGCATGACCCTCTGGCGGGAAGCGGTGTCGCCCCCTGCAGGGCTTCAGCAGGGGATCACGATGACAGAGAGGGAGTACTTGCACCTCATCGCCGCGTGCACCAGGGCTCGAGATGAAAAGTGGTGAGAGGTGTCATGAACGCGTGTCTACCGCGTTGCTCTCCGGTGCTAACACCGTTGGAGCCTTTTCTCTGTCCCTTTAATGTCTGCCATGTAGCAGCATGAGGAAGCTACGTTTGTTTTGATGGGATGACCCTCCTTCCCTCGTGCGTATTTCTACCATGCCCCGAACTGCAACTCCTGCAGTGGCGCCGTTTCTTCACCTTGCAATGGCATTAACACGGTTCCTCCTCCCCTCTCTCCCTTCTCCCACCCTCCGCTCGTTCCCAGCTTTTTGGAGGTGATGACGGAGTACATGGACGACGTGCTCCAGCCGCGCAGCCGGCACAGCTGGGACGTGCTGAAGGCGTGGTTCAAAGTGGGTCCCAACGTGATTGGTAACGGCTGCGTGAAGCACAGAGAAGTAGCGGCAGCGACAACAGCGCGAACAGAACCGGAAGAGGGCGAGATAGAGAACCCGCGGTCAGGAGGACCCCCCGACAATGATGGCGCCGGTGGAGGAGATCGCGGAGAATCGGGCCAAGAATCAACGGCAACCTCAGGCGCCGCCGCTGCTGCTCCCGCTCTCGCCGGTGATGCTGCTGGCGCACCGGGTGTTGGTGGCCCAGCGCCTTCGTCATCGGAAGCGGTAGCCTCTACGCCACCAAGCGCCAGCCCGGACGATAGCCACGGCACCGATTCAGCACCAGCCCCTGCATCGTTGTCGCCCTCTCCTGCCCCCACCCCTCAGGCAGACGGTGGCGGTGGCGATGACGCCACGGGAGCTGCTACAACTTCTCCCCGTGCAGCGGGTGCCGATGCGGTGGGACGTTCTTCCCAAGCAGATGGTGGTGGTGGTGATGATGATGTCATGGAAGGCGCTCCTCAGGCAGATGGTGATGAGGCCGTGGGAGATCCTCCTCCAGTAGCTGGTAAAGATGCCGTCGAAGAAGCGAGTCCCCAGGCAGATGCCGCTGGAGGCGAGAAGAAGCCGCCAAGCGGCGGCGCCGGTAGTTGGATCGTGAGGGAGTGTTACGTCCGCAAGGACGGGACGTGCGAAAACTGCGGGGAGGTGATGAGGTCGATCGAGCTCTCGGAGGACGACGAGCAGCGCTTGCTGAAGCAGGTGGGTTCGCGCCGCTTTTTTCATCGGAGTTTTTGTGTTTTTCCGCCCAAACGCACACGCGAGGGAAATATGCAGTCTAGAGCTGTTGGCGGAAGGGGGCGTCCTAGAGAGTGTTTGTGATGAGTCTGCTTATGTTTTGCGGAGCCGTGGCTTAGATTTGTAGTGTATTTTGTGAGAGTTGAGAAGAAATGGTCGCAACGTGGAGATAGGCATCCAAATACTTGCGTTTGCGTGATGCCACATAGCAGCTTGTGGGTTGTTTTTGTGGAGCGCGCATCCTTTCCTTCTCCCGGCACTACACCCCAGTGACTGCATCGATATTAGCTCTATCGGACGGGTCCTCAAATAGCCCGGATTGACGAGAACGAATCGTGAGGAGGGGTACAAACGTCGGAGTAGGAAATGTTTTGCAGCACCTTGCGCAGGTGGTGTGGAGTTGATGACGTCAGCAGATTGACGGCCGTAGGCTCCTCTAAATTGCGCCATGTTTCTTTTTTCCTCGCGATGATTGCATCGATGTTAGCTCTATCGGACGATTCTCCTCAAGTAGCCCGGTTTGACGAGAAGAAATCGTGAGGAGGGGCCACCAACGACCCTTGTACAGGACACGTTTTGCATGGAAAGGCTTGCGCTACCCGATGCGTTTCCTCGGATCACTGTTGCTACCAGAACGTGGAATACGCTGCTTGATTTCGGAGCCATAGCTCTTGCTGCTTGTCTCGTATCTGGTTCATTGCTAGCTCCACCAGGCAGATCGTACCATCGAGAATCGTTATGACGGGTGGAATGAGTGTGTCGTACTCAACTTTGGCATATGGTTTTTGTCACGTTGGCGATGTACGTAGCTGTACGAGAACAAGGACAGGCCGTTGACACATACGTCACGTAGCTCTCAGTGGACGTGTCGAGATTGTCTCGGTCGGATGGATTCTCAAACTAGCCCGTTTTAGGCGAGGGGACTGAGGAATGTGCGTACTAGAGGCAGCACGTTCGCATGTCCGGACACATGTGAGAAAGTACAGGACCTTAGTCAGTCTCTGATTTTGATGCGCCATGTAGTTGATGAACTTGTGCACAACAATCCTGGTACACACCTGTGCATCTCGCCATGTACCCCCGATGACTGCATCGATATTAGCTCTATCGGACGGGTCCTCAAATAGCCCGGATTGACGAGAAGAATCGTGAGGAGGGGCAACGTAAAGACAGCGTTATGGTTATCGGTTGCAGCATGGAATGCAGTGTTTCGCTGCAACAAGGCATCTCTGGGGCAGAAGCTTTGGTGGAAATGTCACGGACACCAGGAATAGAAAATATGAGACTTGAATACTGTTGTATAGATGGAACGATATCAACCTTTCTTTGTGCCACTGGATATTGCTTAGTTTGCCTTGAGTATCGATATGCTGGACATCAGTACTTCAACGAGCTATCGCGAAGCACTATTGTGGTAGCGCTCGCTAGGGTAGACTTGCACATGTGTCTGACGCTCGTTCTATTCCGGGTCAAAACGGACCGTTCACTTGTTGTCAGACAATCAAGGCCGGTTGCATCTAGGTTTTTCTATTTTCCCGATGACTGTAACGATAAAATGCTCTATCGATCGGATACCTCGGGGCCTACATCCCCGAGATCCCCTGACGAGAAAAAAATCGTACACAAAAGTGTGAGGAGGGAATTGAAACACTAACACGCACACACACACCCGGCAGTGAGCGTATGCCCTACTGTGTGTGCCTGACTAGAAAGTACGGAAAATAGTTTACTTCTTCCGGTTCACGTTCTTTGGCGCGCGAGCTTCCACGGCGAGTGTGCTTTGGTAGCTGCCTTGTCTCGAGGATGTTTGGTGTTTCCCTGCGCCCTCAGAACTTGTTGGGGAGCCGTCTTGTCGTTGCTGTTCCACGCGCGCACGCACTGAAGACGGCTACTAAGTTGCACGATCACGGCCTTGGCTTCAAAGGAACGAGCGCTGCTGCATGCAGCACTGATTCAAACGGAATCGTCTAGTGCAAGGCTTGTTAGAATCGGCTGCCGACATTTCCTCTAACGTGTTAGTTAGTCGTTTGTAATCCCTTGGCTGCTGAAAACGACGAGCTTGCACGGCGCCCAGCTGTTGCCCGTACCCTCACCCACCAGCGTGGCAAGACACAACTTGCACTTGTCCTCAAAAATTATTTCGGCAATTTGTTACGATCTAGCGCGTAGTCGAAACCCTGGCGGGTGCTCAGCGATGGAATCCGATAGTTGGTACGGTTTACACTACGTTTTTTTCCCACCGGGGCACATGGGCCGTGAAGAACGGTCTCATATAGGGTCACAAGGCCAACAACCAACCAGCCCTCCCTCCTCTTCTCTCCCGCCCCCGCAGATCGAAGAGCTGGTTTGCACGAACGAGCAACGAACGAATCAGTGGGAAGGGTTCCGCGGCTGGCTGGAGCGGCGAGGGAAGCAGCGGTACAACGTGATAATCGACGGGGCCAACGTGGGGTACTACAAGGCCTGCCTCAGCGAGGGCGAGCTCGCCGACCTCCGGCAGGTGGACTGGGCAGTCAAGAAGTTCCAAGAAGAGGTGGGGAAGTTTTTCGCATCTTTCGATGATCGCCTGTGCTGCCGGTGAAGGAGGAGGGTCGCTTGAGATTTGGTATGTGCGGCGAGTCAAGAACAAGCGTGATAGAGAGGCGATGGATAGTGGTCATGTTTTTTGTGTAGTGCTTGTGGTGCTCGGCCGACGTGCCGCATGGCACACATTTTGGAGCAGCTGTTGCTTGGCGTCGTGCTCTTCTCTTGGCCCAGTAAGATACTTGCCAGGCCCAAATGTCTCTCATCTCTCCAGATCGACAAACTGCCAGCTTGATTAAAAGACTCGCAGAAAACGAACTTTTGTGCTTGCGCCATGATTTTATCATTTGGACATTTTATCCGTCAAGGGAGTGTACCACACGACAGAGCTGGGAAAACGAAACAGGGTGGTGATTTCGGCGTCCTCCCTCGACGCTAGTATCGTGATACCCTCCTTGCTGAAATATCTTCACCCCGTCCCGCGTACCAAACCACCGGGAGATTGTGTGAGGAGGCGCGGGGGATCGGGAGTAACTACGCGCGCGATTTATTTTACGTCCTTGACGTACACGTCGACCTTTGCCAATGACGAATAGCCACATTTCGCTTACACGAAAAAAGGGACGAAGGGTGGTGCGGTACGCGTGAAAGCGCTCCCCGGGCCCACTTCCTGCCTGCATGCGTGATTTCTACGCTGCGTTCTTTCCGAGGCAAAGAGAGAAAAAAACATTTGATGTACAGCAGCGGCCACATCGCTGTCGCTGTCTTTTACCACGCACGTCGTCTTTTGAGACACTTGTTTGACAACCGTTCGCACCTTGAAGTGTTACCTCGTCTTCACCGCAGTACCAATCGGGAGGCGACAAATTTCTGTAGTGATCACAGGCCATACGGTGACCATTCTTTTTCTTTAGAAGAGAAAGTTCGGAACTGGCCGTTGCTCGTGTCTTATGTTTTTAAGTACTGTTGGTAGATTATCTTTCTGGACATTTCTTTCTTGAAACAGCAGCATAGAATCCGCGTCTATGCAGTCTCCTGTTTCCCCATAGTTGCTACCTACGTGGGTTCGAGTCGGAGAAGGAGCTGCTTTTTTTGTTGAAGTTAAGAGGGTTCATTTTGTTCTGTCAAGCACACTAAAAAAGCACGTGTGATTCGCTCTGAATGTGTCCGGGACGGCATGGCGTACTTCACATGTTGCCGCTGATTGTCCCCCTTGTCCGCTCCTTCGTGGAAGGGGGCACGATAGGGAATAATGCTCTAGGGTTGGCGGGTACATGAGAACGTGCGGGCGTTGGCGAGGCGCCTTTCTTAGGATGAGAATCAGGACCGGTGGTTCTTCTCGACAGAGATGCGCGGTTAGAAGTGACGTCACACCGGCAAGCAACGAATCAGTAACCTCGCCTCCTCCCAATTGGAACAGGGCAAGAAGCCGCTGGTGGTGCTGCACAGCCGGCATCTTGTGGAGAAGAGGCTCTCCGATGAAGCGAAAGAGATTTACAAGCGGTGAGTGAGATAGATCATAGATATGTGTTGGCGGAGAGGGAGATCGAGAGCTGCAGTTAGAAAACCTCCCGACCCCTGTGTTTTGTTTATTGTAATTTATTTGTCTCACTTTCAAATCAGCGCTCAGTGCTTGTGTCGTTTACTCCAACCCGTGGTCACAGAGAAGATTCCTCTCCCTGGGGCTCCCTACCCAACCCTCCTGCGGTACTTCGCCTTCGATTTTTATACGTCCCGTGTATTCTTGTTTGGGGGTACTCGGCGCTTGGTACAGACCCAGAAGATTTAGGAGGCTTCGTGTATCATTGTGTTGTGCGGGGTGATCACCCTTGTGCGTGCATGGGCAAGCGTGCCCGGCTCCCACTCGTTAATGATACAAGCTCTTTGAGTCAGCCTGCCTTCTCTGCGCTTCCGGCAACAAGCTGCCCGCCTCCGTCTGCTTGAAGTCCGGTGGTGTGTCCGGTGATGTGCATGCGCAACGGCAAGTTTCTTGCCGTCACGGTGTCGGCCGCCGGCTTTTGTGTATTGTTGTACATAAACGATGCTTGGTGAACAGGCGCTCGGTACGTACTCTCTTCCTGTAATACAAGGGGCGCTCGGCAAAAGATCTCTTCTTGTATTTACAAGAAGAGATGACCTACCGAGCGCCTGTTCACCAGGCAGCGTGTACAACAATCCACGAAATCCGGCCACCCTTCTAGATGTGCGTAGATCTGTACCGAGTACCCAACCACCCCTCTCTATTCGCGTGTGACTGGAAGCAAGCAGCATGACACTAGAGAGAGGCGGTTGATATGTCCAGCGATGCTCGCGGAAACAGACCGTAGCGACACACCTTCCCCCCTTCCCTCCTCCCGCGAGGTTCACACCACCTTGTTTTTTCTTGACATATTTTTCGTCTAGATATGCCTGACAGGTGGATAAGAAGTAGCGGTAACCAACCCCACATACCCTCCCTTTTCTCATCATTGTTGCTGCGTTTGGGAGGTACAACACAAATATCCGCATACATTTCCGTACAACAACGAACCAACTCTTTAAGGTGGAAGGAGGCGGACATGATCCAGTCTTGCGCGCCGAAGAACAACGACGACTGGTACTGGCTGTACGCGGCGGTGTACACGGGAGGCTCGGTGCTGGTGCTGACGAACGACGAGATGAGAGACCACCACTTCTCAATGCTTTCGCACCGCTCATTCCAGAGATGGAAGGAGAGACACCAGGTACGTACGTACGCCGCTGCGCGGCATTCTTCTCTTCAACACCCACCCCGAGAATTTGGTTGTCTCCCGCCAAACGTGCACTCTGTCAGCGTTAGGCATTCGCAGGAAGTTGCAGCTCTTGTCTTGACTTTTTTTTTGTCTCGCGGCAACAACGTCATTGGAATCGTTGTCACAGTACATCGCAATTTTTTATTGTTAACCAGTGCGCAGCAACAGTTGCCTGCGACATTGTATGTTTTACACTTTTTGTTTTGATCGTCGGTCGCCCGATAATCAACAGCTTTGACTCAAAATACGAAGATGGAGTAGGAGGGGTAGAAGGCTCCGAGTGCACTTGTTGGAGTATCGGTGTGCTGTGGTGTGGTATGCTGTGCTACCTTGTCTTCCCCTCCTGTGCTGTGCGTTGGTGGTTGTTTCTATTTCAAGGTGCAACAAAAAGCTTGTTTGTCGAAGCGCTCATAACAGCAGTTTTTTTGTACCAATTGTCTTCTTTTTCCCTCAACGTTGTTTTCCTGGATAGTAGGGGTAGAAGTCCTTGCAGTGCACACGACCAGGGTAGGACACACGGATAACCCCGCGTCAAGCTACCGCGCGGGCATTGGTGGCGTATTATTTTAACCGCTCGCCTTCGTCGCCGGGGGCATGGACGAAAAAGGTACTTGACGAATGGATCACCGAAACGACGGCAGTCTCCGTGTTGCATATGTTCCTGTCAAGTGCTCTCGCTGGCGAAAAAGTGTGTTTGTGATGGTACTAATTTATGTCGTGTTTCTCCGTGTCTCCGGGCTTAATCTCGCTGCTTTGTGTTTCGATCCGCGGGTGTCGACGGCCGGCCGACCTAATGGATCCGACAACCTGTTTACGCAGGCCCGGTTCTACTTCGGCGACTGGAAGGGAGAGGGCGGCGACGACGACGCGCGAGAAGTCATCACGGAGGAACCCCGGTCGTACTCCAAGCGGACGCAGAAGGGCGTGGACTCTTGGCACGTGCCCCTTGAGCGCTCGCGCGACTGGCTGTGCGCCAGGTGGCAGCCGCAACAGGAACGATAGCGAACATACCACTTTTTTTGTGCACAGTTTGGTTCTTGTGTGTGTGCGTTGTGTTACAGCCATTAGTCAAGGGCGTGATAACGCCCGCGTCAAATACTCGCCGGGCTGTCTCTGATGGCTTCTTCTGTGTTTTGTGTTCTCTCTTATTGCGTGTGTAGATTTGTTCGTTTTTCCCCGCGAGCCTTTTTCTGTGCATGTTCTTGTGGAGCTGTATGTTCAAACGTGATGAACGTGCTATTATAGTAGCTGCTTCAATGGCAAGAAGTCACAAGGGCCTAACACAAATCGGAGCAAAATGCATCGGACTTGCTTTGTTAACAGGAGAGCACCAAACGAAATGGCCCTTTGTACTTCCTGTGAGGAAACGGCCTGTTGTCGGTGGGAGCATGTTGCTTCTTCGAAGCCCCAAATTAGAACTTGAGTGGTTGGGGGTGCCTGATAAGATTGTATCAACCACGGTACCATGGTTACTGGTGTGTGTGTGTGCTATTATTTGTCTTTTTTTTTAGTGAAATGGGGGAAGACATGCATGGCAAAGTTGGGCGTTCTTGTGCGTTGTGGGCACCATCGCTGGATGTTTCATTTAGGGTGTGTTATTACGGGTTTCGAACGAATACCACTCTTGCCACCCTTCTCCCGGGTAGGTGGGGTGGGGATGCTCTTGAGGGAAAGGGAGAGACAGATGGAGAGTGAAGGATCGACATAAAAGAGTGACTCAAGTTTCCCGAATGCCGCGGCGGAATCTCGGAGCGTGCATCATTGGACCTCTAGCCGGGTATCAGTAGGCTTGAATTGAAATACGTGAATGATGTGTGGATGTCCCGTGTTTAACTTTAATCTGTATCGACCGCGCTAACCGGTTGACCCCAAAAAAGACGAAGCCGTGTGAACTGGAGGCTGCAATGTGAATGTGTGTGTGTTTCCGCCCCCCATTTATTCCGGGCGTCAGATTTCTACACCTTTCGTTCGTTGTGTTGGGAGTAGGGAGCACCAGTCGGGGAGTCCGTCGGTGTAGGTACGGCGCCTCGTTACACCTGTTGCGCGAGCTGTGCTGCACGCAAGCACTATGCAAATAATTTAGCGACATCTACCGCCTGCGCCGCGGCCATTTTTCTGTTCTGCGCGTTCGTTGGAAGTGGGCCAACAGCAGTTTTTATCGTCCCGATGTTCGATTGTGTATTGCGCATGGAGATTCTCTGTCTCGACACAAGCAAAGGTCCACCATTGATTTTGAGACTACATGCTACGATAGTAGTCCTTGGCGTTGCTCAACCACAAGAACGGTATTTAGTGCCCAAATGGGTACCACGGTAGGTGTGTCCTGGTGGAGAGATAGCTCGTCGTCCATATGGTAGTGGATGTTGGAGGATCTAGTGTCCCCAACGTCGTCGTGGTACATGTCGCAAGACGCCACTACATGTTGTTAAATATCCGTAAGATTTGAAAAGATCCCCGATCCTACAACTCTTCATTGATATTTCCCGAACCAGTCGTATCGGGGTTGAGGGCTTCGATCTCTGCAACCGAACTGGTACTAACAGCATTCCCAAGTTCGGTAGTGCTTGGGTCTCCATCGACCTAAATTCACTTGTTCTGTCCCTGTCATTTTCATTCGCACATGTAGCCCACCCCCGACGGGGTCTAAAATGCTGATCTCGAGCTACAGTGCAAATCTCGTGGCGCCTCGAGCAAGTTTCGGTGTGGAATCGCAAATCATGAGCCGTCTCCGAGTTGGAGCAGCTTCCGCCTCCTGTGGCCGGCAATAGTGGGCCTTGACTGCTCCTTGCCTGTTTCGCCATGGAAACGGCCGGTTGAACAGCGAAAGAGGGTCCTGCGTGCTGCGCGGAAGGCATGGTCAATGTTCGCATGAGGACGTGCGGTCACCCCGGCTGCACCACAAGAGCGTCGTTTTGCTCGCGGGTAGCAAGAAGGCGCAGTTTTGCTCTCGACACGCGGTGGACGACATGGTCAACGTAAACGAAAAAAGCACCGCACGCCATGAGCGGCTAAGCCTGGGCCAAAGGCTAACGAAACGGTTTCGCGGTATGTCATCAAATGGCCTGGCTGAACCTTCCTAAAACAGCATCGTAGGGTCAAACAAGCGAGCCCGCCGTTTGTCCGTTGGGAGGTGCATCAGTCGAAGTAGAGCCCGGCGAACGCATGATGAGTCCGTTTACATACGGCGGTAGGTATGGGTTGTTGCCCCGCCTGCAGGAATAAGTTCCTCGGTCGACCCTGACGCTGCCTCTAGGATGAAAAAATCGCGCGATTTCGCGTTGAAAATGAATGTACACCACGTTTTGGCATGATGGCGGAGCTCTCAAGTTACATTATTTTGTGTTTCTTGTTGGCCTGCTGTCATTCTTATGTCACCGTTTTGTGTGACCGAGGACTTTTTCGTGCTGTGGTTAAAGCAGGCTCAAAAAAATTACTCATTCCAAGACTCCCAATACCTGCCATAAATCCCTCGCTAATGCCACAGCCACATACCACACCGGAAAACAACATTGGAGCGCGACTAGAGCAATTCTGCTCGAGGCCATACCGTTGCCCACCACATGGTGAGACCAATACGTACCTAGGCTACACCAGGAAGGGAGAGCGTAACTCACATCACAGGGGGGATTCATTCGAACAGCCAACACACCACCCACTTGGGGGCAAAAACGCCGTCCTCCTTCTGCCTCCATCCGGTCCTACTCTGCGTACTTTGTTGATAGCCACACGTACGCTGGTGCTAAATGTCCACCTGTGTGCTCTCACGGGAAAGACGTGCGGCGTCTCCCCATCTGAGTGTTGCTTCAGCGAGGGCATTTCCCCAGGTGTAGCTTACGTCTGTACGGATGGACAAGGTAGGCGCTTACAGGAAAATCTGCATGTATTTGCAAGAAGCGCAAACGTGTCGCGTGGATGCCCCTAAATAACAATGTCGAGGCTACACCAGTAACAAAGTCCAACACTGGAACGCGGTGGCGTTCGCGGACGGGGTGCAAGGGCTGCAAGGCTAGAAGGGAGGGCCGGCAGACTCGCCGATTCACGGACAACCTCTAAGTCACAAGTTACCGGAATGCGGCTTGACCCCGACAACCGACACGTAACGCTCCAAGCTGATTGTACTCCAAACGCCTTCCTGTTGGTGGTTTGTTGCGTCGAAAACAGAAATGCAAGTGGGTCGGGTTAGAAAGCAACGGATGGAGGCTACAAAAACATCGCGTGGTCTCTTCTTGTATCGGTGTCAAGGCCGTGATGGCTGTGTTGTAAGTAGGTGCAGCAGCAGTAGCAGCGGAAAACAACACCTACAATCTGTGGTTCATATATACATACGCGTTGTCGTTCATCGCGATGTTGTAGCCGACTGATTGATGGTTCGACGGCTGCGTTGCCGGCTGCTCTGCCAGTCAGGACAACTGAACACGCGGCAAGTTCACGCGTAGAAACTCGCACTCCGCTATCCACTTGCAGGGCTAGTGCCGCGCACACACACTCCACTTGTAACTACCCCTTGACAAGAGTCAGTACGGGTGTGCCTTACGGCAAAGGAGTGCTGAAATAGTTAAACTCCGTGCACAACAAAAAATCAATGTTTTTCCCAGCACAAATGAGAACTTTTCTCTGCACACAGGTGGTTGGTTGTTCCGAAATCTGAAAGTACCGGCAAACGCCCTGTTTCCAGGCGCATGGCGTGACGGAGAGTTTTTTTTTTTTCCTTGATTTTTTATCCCCGAAAAAACGGGAAAACTTTATTCGTTTACAGCGCTACAACCAACCGATCGATTTCAAAGTAAACAGCGGCAAACGATTCCTTTGATCAGTCTCAAGATGGGCGTTTTCGTTTTTTGCTGGGAAAAATCTGGTTCTCGAGATATTTTACATTTTCTTGTGCCGCATTATGGGTGATTTTCTTGTGCTGGGCGACACACCACACACTACACGCGGCAGCCCGAAGAAAACAAAACAAGCACGCAAGTACCATGGGGAACCCAAAGGGACGACCTAAGAAGAAGAAGATCGGCAGTCGCGGAGCCGATGGCAACGCGGCTTCTAAGAACAGCCGAAGCCGGCGCAGCAACATGAACATGCGAATAGACTGCACATTGCGTGATTATTGTATTGTTTGTGCGCGATCAGTTGCGAATAAAAGTGTGTGGACGAGGGGAAATTGCAGAAGGGGGGCTCCGTGGCGTCAAATTGGGGTATCGTGGCGTCAAATGGGCATCAACGTGGTGATATATAGGGGGCTCCGCTGTGGAAAATGGGGGGCAACGTGGTGATATAGGGGGCTACCCAATGGAAAAACGGGGGGCACCGTGGTGATATAGGGGGCTACGCAGAGTTAAATGGGGGCTCCGTGTTCAATTTGCCCAAAAATGTTGCATTTTCCCAAAATGAAAAAAACTCTGAAGCTGTCGACGTAGCTTGACGAGGCGATCACGAATATCGTTGTTTCACGTTTCAAATATTTTTCTTTAAAGAGTTATCGCACAAAACGAATGGACAAATTGCTGTGCATGGACCTGTAGCAGCAGCAACAGGCGACGTGCAGAGCGAGCACAACGTGGTCTGAGTGCCAAGCGTGGAATGCTAGCACAACAACCCCAACGACGTCCTGTCTCTACACGGAAAAAACGTGCTTCGAGGTACGAGACAGTGAGCAAATTTTGACTTCAAGCGCACAGCGCGTTGAGTTCGTGACCAAACCTCTTCGAAATTGAGGCTTGTCGTGCGCATCGTGATTCACTCGTGATGAATATTCGTTGGTTTTGGTTTTCGGTCCACTGTTTGGAGTCGTGGTATCGGGTCCGAAAAGACGATCGTCGTCAAAACAGGGTATTATGGCGGAGCTGTACATGTGATCTTAGCTGTGCGTGTGCTTGGTGATATCATCTATCAGCACTCGTAACGTACGTGACTGTTGCTCATAGGTTGTTAGGCTATAAACGACAAAGAAAGCAGTTCTTGCCTTCTTGAAAGGGTCGTTGTCCACAAATTTCTGAGCTTCCTCTCGTGTGGCCGCCACCAAGAAGAAACTACCGATCATGTAGTCGTCGACTTCGTCGACCAACGGCCCCGCCGACACCTTGTTGATGAACCGTGGATCTTCCGGGTTTGCCGTCGCCGCCTGGTATTCCTGCCGGTCCGAGTTCGAGAACCCGTTACCAACAAAGAGTTGTTCAGCGCTCATATGCATACATGGACGCGGAAGACGCGGAAGATAGCGGACTAGACAATAAATCGATTCCGTCTTCTTGTGGTTGTCAAGACCAATCGCAAACTTCTCCTCACCGTCCGCCCCTGAGTGTAGCGGCTCAGGGACGCCTTTGGATTCTACACAGCAGAAAAAAGAGGTCCGGTGACAATTGAGGCCATGACTGCAGCACCGCGCGCTCCCCCTCCCTTTTCCCCTGGCAACATTGCCTGGGATTAGCATAGACTGCTTGCTGTGTTTCTTACCGCAGTCGGTTGCCATCACACACCTTGTGCGCAGGATAATTTCCCATCCGCTTGGCCGAGCCTCCTCGAGGTTCTCCATCTGCCTTGCCACAAGACTGATCATCCAGGCAGTGTATCGCGTAGAGGTGTTTTTCTGTGAGTTGGGCGAGGGAACCGTGTGGAGGACCAGACCGAGAAAGGGGCCGATCGCAAAAGCGGGCGTCAGTGAGTTATACCCCTCTTAGATACTTTTACCTGTAGCATTGAATCAAGTTTCGGGCATGCGGCTGGCTTAGGTCTGATTCTGTCTTGATTAGATGCTGTCAAAGAGAAATGCTGCTCGAATTCTAGCAGGAAATCGAGCCACTAATAATTCAGTACAATACCTACAGACCAGCATAGATCACTTTGGCCGCTGATCTTGTTCAACAATTTAATGTTGTCGGATCGCGAACAACCGTAAATAAGGACATTCGTTCCTCTGAAAAAAACAGTTCAATACGGTAGATTCGACGAGATGGCACAATCAACACCCGTACGGGAGTGTGGTGACTTGCCTCCCGGGGGCGACGCAAGACTCGGCCAAACACTTCACGGCTGTACAGTATCGTTGTATCATAACCTTCGGTGGTGTCGCGGTTGCCGTAAAAACTGCAGAAATTGTCGCGAATCATTATTTCTTCACAATGATGTGATTTTTCGATTGTGCGTGATAAATGTGTGCTTGATGTAGGCTAGCAGTGCAATTGCCGCAGATCCTACTGCTGCAACCCGCTGCTTTTGATCTCACTCTCGTATTCTTGTATCATTGCTCATGGTGTGAGTAAAATATGTGCGTGTGTTGCGTAGGAGTTCAAGGTGTTCCAAAACAATTATTCTTGCACTTACTTCCTGTGAGGGGGTTCATACGCAACGTGTTTTTTGGGTTTGGGGGGGGGGGGCATTTCTTAGCCATAAAAAAAATTAAACCGAAACCGAAAAGGTTCAGCCGAAAAGATTAAACCGAAAAGGTTCAGCCCAAAACATGAAACCGAAAAAGTTAAGCCGAAAGATTAAACCGAAAACGTTGAGCAGAAAACGTGAAACCGAAAAGGTTAAGCCGAAAAGATTAAACCGAAAAACTTAAGCCGAAAACGTGAAACCGAAAACGTGAAACGGAAAGGATCGCAAAGGATAAGAAAGACTGGCTTCTGGATTTGGGGGGGGGGGGGGGGGGGGGGGGCCCCAAAACCGGGCGGGCCGAATCCTTTAAACCTTTGCCCCCCCACCCCCCAAAACCCCAAAAAAAAACCCCGGGGTTTCCCCGGGACCGGGGCTCCCAATACCCAAGGGGAAAACCCCGGGGGGATTTCGGGAGGCCCCAGAAGGGGGGGGCGGATCCCGGCAAAGGGGGTTGGGACCTTGGGGTTTCTTTCCTGGGGAAGGGAGAAAACCGGGGAAGAATTTCTTTTTTTTTTGGGGGTTTTTCCTCCCAAAAAAATTTTAAACCCCGGGAAATGGCCCCCGGGAGCTTTGACAATTTTAACCAACGGGGGGGGGACTCCCCCCCTTGGGGGGGGGGGGGGGTTTCCCCCCCCCCAAAAAGATTTTCCCCCCCCCCCTTTTTGGGTCCCCCAAAAAAAAAACCCAAGGGAAAAAAAA